GTGCGTGCGTGCGTGCGTGCGTGCGTGCGTGCGTGCGTGCGTGCGTGTTTGTGTGTGTGTGTGTGTGTGTGTGTGTGTGTGTGTGAGTGTAAGTGTGTGTGTGTGTGTGTGTGTGTGAGTGTGTGTGTGTGTGTGTGTGTGTGTGTGAGTGTGTGTGTGCGTGCGTGCGTGCATGCGTGCGTGCGTGCGTGCGTGCTTGCGTGCGTGCGTGCGTGCGTGCGTGCGTGCGTGCGTGCGTGCGTACGTGCGTTGTGTGTGTATGTGTGTGTGAGAGAGAGAGAGAGAGAGAGAGAGCGTGAGCTTAGGTCGAGACCTCAAAAGATTTTTAACCGACTTCAAAAAAGGAGGAGGTTCTCAATTCGACTGTATTTTTTTGTATGTTTTTATGCGGTAACGCATTTGTGAACCAATTTTGATGATTCATTTTTGTTGAAAAGAGAGTGCCTCAGTAATGTTCAATTTCAACGAAATATTCCACCTCTAGGTTAAGGTCGGTTTTTTTACTACTTACTCTGTACTGAGATTATCAATTTAATTATATTATATTTTAACCATTTATTTCACTCAATTCTACGCTCATAGGCCCTTAGCCGACACACATGCAGCAGTTTATGAATCTGGTTATAAATATTACTGGATTGTGTTTTATGTGTAAAAGTGAGTAAAAGTGTTTCTTGTCTACAGCGACGGAGTACAGCAGGCGGAAGTCGTTGGTCTTGGCTAGAAGCATGGGGCAAAGGATCAGGCTGGGGCAGTGCATGCGGCGAAGCGGCGAGACGAGTCGCTACAGTTTGCTGCGCGACTCTTGCACTGCTAGCCGCAAGACTGCACGTGATGGGTGCACAGCTGCCAGTCTTTACTCGATTTGACAACCCTGCGGGAGCAGCTCCGCCACCGGCCAGGTTTGTAGAGTAAACGCGCATGCGCACTGCATTCGATTCGCATTCGTTCCGTTTGGACATAGACATCATCATCATGGATCATGGACAGTCCCATATCATTCTACATAAGTTTTGTTTATAGCGCCCCTCCCTATCAACCTCTTGGTTATGCATTATGCAGGAAGGTCACTATGACCTGTGCGCGCACAGGAACCTTACAAGTTCAAGTCCTGACCCCAGATCAGTCAGTGTACAGGGTTGTCTCAGACCTCTGTCACTTAACCTCATCCAGTTCTTCGAGAGACTAGTGCCTCGGGTGAGCCGCCCCGGGAGCACGTACAGTACCCTCCCTTTTTTCCAGATAGGTAAGTACCGGATCTGTAGGCGCGCTCACTTCCCGTTGCGCATTGCACAATTAGCGGTTGCCACCGCTTAGCCGTCGACCCTGAGTCCACTACCAAATCTCCTCATTGGTGGCGGAGCTGTAAGGCACGCTCACTTCGCGACGCCGAAAAACGACGTCTCTCCAGTTCCCAATAACCTGTGCGGCTGGAGGGACCGGATGATATCTAGCTTATCCTCTACTAGTTCTCCGGGCTAGTGCCGGAGATGCCAATAGCAGCGTCCTGCGACAATGTCCGGACATAGCTTCCAACTTAAAGGGCAACTCACGCGTCTCCACGCTTCATGCCCTCAACTTAGACCACTACTAAGACGCGCTAGCTGCTCACAAGACAGACGTCTCGGAAGCACGCAAAACCGAGGCAGACAAACATGTCCGTCCGGCTTGGCCCGGACGCCCGCTGTACCCTGGTCTTGTCGTCTCTCCGGAAAACCCTATCCCTCGGGTCGGCAGATAGAGACCCGATCATGGACAGTGTCAAAGAAGGGAAATGAATACACTTGTTTAAATAAGTTTATACATTTATATCAACTCACTTACAAACCCACGCCCTTGGCCGCTATCTACAGTTACAATTATAATATTATTTTAAATTAGAGTCGTAACATCTCAATCATGACAGACAGTAAACGCATTGCATCCGATTCGCATACGTTCCGAATGTCTCGGATTCGAGACTAAACAAATCTAGAAAACTCGAGCCCGCTTCGGATATCGCTTGTATACCTAGAGATAAAATGATCCCTGTGACATTTCGGACATACAAATCGGACGTAGTGCGCAAAGGCTCTAACGGCATTTACCGTAAAATCAAAAAACCATAATATAAGGGTACGCCGTTTCGCTATAGTGCCCTCGGAACAAAAAATTCGTACGTACTTAGTAATGTACTCTTATTATGTAATTCAATTACAATATAATAACACAAAAAAGGCACAATTTAATACAATATTGCCATCGAGTACATTATTCGTGAGTCAAGTGTTAAAAAGTCACATTTAAATTAATAATGCCCTTTATATGCAGTAATAATATTTTTATAATTTTTTCTACTGAGTTAAAAGAGAAAATTAAAGTATTTTTAAAAAGCCCGGCATTAAAATACAATGAAACTTTCTGTATATAAAACGTTGTGATATATATTTATAACATCAATTTATTTATTTATTTATACAACTATACAATGCGGACTAAAATAATTAATTTCACACTACGTAAATTTACATAGGCAGTTCAGACAGCAGTCCACAGACATGTGTGCAAAGTTAGTACTAATTAATATGTTAGCATCTAGTGAACTAAAATCCAAATGTTAATCTTAATGCATACGAATACTTAATATTAATTTTAACATAAATTTTACATCAGCTATGAGTGTATACGCCAGTATTTATTTATTTTATTAGATTTTTCTATGTGCTTGTTGTTGGATCTTTGTATTTGCTTTTCAACGACTTTTTAGCCGTAGCGCCATCTATGAGAAATCTATGAAAATATTTCGTCACTCAGGAACTTTACAGCTACCAGCCCTGGCTAGATATACACACATTACATTATATACATATATAATGTAATGTATATAGAATATACTCGTGATATAATGTAATGTGTGTATATATAATATGTATCACGAGCATATTCTATATATTGTATGAGTATAAGTTATATATTTGGTATGTAGCAATGTGTATGTATGTTATAATTTATATGTAGTACGTTCTTATGAAGTTTGTATAAGAATGTATTCGGTTTAATTTATAAACACGATTCTTGGTGTTTCGTGCACCATTGACGACCCTTCACCTAAAACTCCGTAATCACTTGTAAGGTTGCCTGGAAAAGATCGCTGTCTAACGATACGGCCGCCGATTGTGCATTTAACTATGTTTTTCTTTTTTGTATTGTCACTGTTTTATTTTGTGTGCAATAAAGCTTATTCTATTCTATCCATGAAAATCTGTGACATAAGCGCCATCTAGTTGATTTGTTTCTTATCACTAGAAATTAGTGTAGCTTTGATAAATTACAGCTAGTCAATGTAAAACAAATTAGTTGCATTTGTTACTCGTCGCGATATCTGGTGTTCCAATGTGGTACTAAATACCTTACGCTGTCTTGTGTTGCGAGTAGCATTCCTCTTGATTTATTGGTCCATGATTTTGACAAATAACAGAAAGTGTGTCTCAGGGTGATAGGCGCAGTGACAGTGTCTCTCAGATCTTTGCGATTTACAAAGCTCTGAGTAGCACTGCAACTGTTATGGACAGGCGTGTAACTTACCACCAGGAATACGACTTGTTCGTACCATCACTTAATATTACAAAAAAAATGAACTCTGTCGTAAATTCGTAAGTCCGCCATAGAGGAATAATCACAGTAGCGTATAAAAACCTCCATTGATTACAGCATCAGGAACATATTTTACGCCATTATAAGTAGCCATCCAGCTGAAAGAAGGGGTCATAACATAAAACCGTACGTGGCCAACGTAGAGTATATTAATTTTACGAGTTTTGTTGGTGAAACATGGTTTATTTACTTGAACATAAATTTAAACGTATATCGGAATTTATTTTTATTTATTTATTTTATTTTTGTTGTGACTCGGCAAAATGACTGCACCGCGCCTGATGGAAAGTGCGAATACAGTCCAGAGATGAGAGTAACGGATGGAAAACACAAATATCTTCACTCCGTCACTATCATTTTGCCGGTCTGGCCAAATGCTTCTTCACACTACGTTTGAAGGACCCGATGTTATAGCGGGGAGGGAATACATGCGCCGGGAGTTGGTTCCACAATTTGATGGTTCGGCATAAGAACGAATTGCCAAACTTTTTAGTGCGGGACGGTATTGAACTGACCGTCCAACTGTGGCAACGCAGTCCGGCACGGGTGGTCCGCTAATGGAAAGGAGAGGAAGGGATAAGGTTGAATAACTCTTCAGAGCACTCACCGTGGTACAGGCGATAGAATACGCTAAGAGACGCTATATCTTTGGAATGGTCTTTTTCTATTACAATTACTTACAAATAAGACATAGACATGTAAACATTAAAAATAAGTGCACATCTGATTTCTTCACCTGATGGAAAGTGACGATGAGGTCGACGATAGAGCACACCTAAATAATGCCACTCTCGCCTTGAAAAGGCCCTTGGGCCGTTCAGGAAATAAGTCTGATGACAGAGATTTCGTCATATAAATGTGGAAGCGAAACGTTTCATGCGAATGTCCATAACACAAGGATCCAACCCCAACCCTCGTCTAGTGCCCTGATGATAGTTAGGGGAAGACGGAATTAAATTATGCAATTCCATCGCACGCTCCCCGTTATTTATCCTGTGGAATACCGATAAGCAGGCAATTTTATTTCGGTGTTGAAGGCTCTGTAGCTTCGCCTCTTCTAAATCCGAATCGCCCATAAGCCCCTTTGTACGCTTTTCATCTGAATCCAAGGTGGCCAGTTGGTATTTAGCTGAACCATCCCATAAGTGACAGCAGTGGCAGGATTAAATCAGGATTAAACTGCAGCTTAACGCGTCCTAGATCCAATAATCTACCCCAATTAATGCACGAATATAACGTAAGGTACTAAATTTACTATTAAAATTTGTTCATAACCAATTACAGTATAAATTTTCTTCCTTATAGGCACTTGACCTTCGCTTACCTACCAGCTCTGAATGCGTGGCTGTTAACACTACCTGAAGCCTTGTGTTGCGATTGGACAATGGGCACTGTAGCTCTCCTTCGGTCGTGGAAAGATCCCCGTAACTTGGCCACTTTGGCGTTGGCAACTACGCTGGTCGCTGCTGCTATACATGCCCTGAGAACCCGGTCTTCAGCTCTGTCTATGGTAAATTGATTTCTTTTATAGTAGATGCCTCACAGCGATACTATTTTTTTGGTGTAAATCTTGTCCCAAGTCACGTGATATTCTAATATTGGTTCTGCAAAGGGCAGAAAAATAAAATCTTTATTAATTATTAATTTTTATTTCAGGGTCTAGCTCTTCTCGTCTTGCCTTTCTTACCAGCATCAAATCTCTTCTTTCCTGTGGGTTTCGTTGTAGCAGAACGGGTCCTATACATGCCTTCTATGGGCTGGTGCCTACTTGTAGCCCACGGTTGGCGCCTACTCGCCAAGAAAAGAGCGAAACTGGCAGCTGCAGCGCTCATATTTCTTCTTTTAGCTTTTAGCGCGAAAACATATGTCAGGAATTGGGACTGGAAGACTGAATATTCCATTTTTGCCTCAGGATTGAAGGTAAAGACTCCCCATCAATGACATTCCATAAATCACTTCTTTATAATGAATTATTGTAGCTACTAACACCATATTCTTGCAGGTGAACCGTAACAATGCAAAATTGTACAATAACGTAGGTCACGCGTTAGAAGCAGACGGGAAGTACGCTGAAGCTTTAGAATTCTTCAACACAGCCGTATCAGTACAGCCAGATGACGTCGGTGCTCACATTAACGTGGGCAGAACTTATAACCATTTAGGAAGATACCAGGAAGCGGAAGATGCTTATGTAAAAGCTAAATCTCTGCTTCCCAAAGCAAAACCAGGAGAGTCGTACCAAGCCAGGATAGCCCCTAACCATCTAAACGTATTCTTAAATCTAGCCAATTTGATATCCAAGAATGCAACCAGACTGGAAGAAGCAGACATGTTATACAGACAAGCTATCAGTATGCGAGCGGATTACACCCAAGCATACATAAATAGGGGTGATATTCTAATTAAACTGAATAGGACAAAGGAAGCGCAAGAGGTGTATGAGAGAGCACTGCTGTATGACAGCGGAAATCCTGACATTTATTACAATGTAAGTACATAGAGAAATGATCAAAGGCTGTTGTTAACTGTGATAGCAATTTGCCGTAGTAGCCTAATAGTTTGACCTAATGCCTCTCAAGCAGAGGATCGTGGGTTCGAATCCGGGCTCGCACCTCTGAGTTTCTCGGAATTTATGTGCGAAATTTATCATGAGCTTTTCAGTGAAGGAAAACATTGTGATGAAACCTGCTCGTTGAAGAAGATCTTGTCCTTCGTCTGAAAGGAGACCCGTGCCCAGCTGTGGGACGTACAAATGGGTTGATGACGATGATAAAGATAGCAATTTGGTATTTACCGAAAAATCTCGCATTACCCTTATTGGGAACTTTTCTCTTCTTCTCTTCGCAAAGAGCATACAGCATTTTCCGTGTTCAGTTCAACAATTCGTTTAGGGCGTTATTTGGACTGCCCTCGCTCTTACATCGCCACGGGTATGTTTGCGGCAGCATGCACTGACTGCTTCAAAAGAAAGAAAAGAAGAACAAGCAAGAAACTCTAGGGATTGCTCTTTTCAAATAACCTTAATGCTATGGAATACACTTTGAATTATAATTGTGTGGAATCTAAACTCATGTTGTCCTTCCATACATCAATCGAATCGATTTAGACATTGATTTCTAGGTTTTATTGTATGTACCAAAAATTTTAATTGTAATTTCAATATTGAACTTTATTTTATTTTATTTCAATTTAGTTTCATTTTATTTTATTTTTATAATTATTGAATAATTATTTTGACCGTAACTGTACTTAACTTAATGTTATTTTTATGAGTATTTGTCGCCCGAAATAAATTATTTTTATTGTCTTTTATTTATTTATATATTCTTCTTTCAGTTGGGAGTCGTCTTATTAGAGCAAGGCAAAGCCTCCCAAGCTCTTGCGTACTTAGACAAAGCGCTGGAGCTGGAACCAGAACACGAGCAAGCCCTGCTCAACTCCGCCATTCTCTTGCAAGAGCTAGGCGCTGCGGACCTGAGGGTTTTGGCCAGGCAGCGCCTTTTGAAACTGCTGGATAAAGACGGTAAGTAAATAACAAGCATTATCTTTAAGGTTTGACACAAGATCTTACTTACTCGATGTCACCCCACATCTACTTGTAAGTAATCAATATTTATATAATTATAATAATAATAAAGTTTAATTCAAGTAAGCCTGACTCACAAGCACTTTTGAATAGTCAAAATCACACAAGAGATTACAAAAAAAGACAAGTCAAGTAAATAAAACATTTCTTACAAAATGGTAAGTAGGTAACAAAACGATATAATATTAACTCCACGCATTTTTATCGTTCATGTGCTCATCAACAGTATACAGTACACTTTTGCCAGAAGTTTATTTTTAACATATGTCTTAAACTTATAAAATGGTAAATATGCAATTTCGGTATTTTATTGAAATATGTAATTCCTTATCCCATATAAGAATTACGTACTTTTTGCAGTCATACAGTCGTAATTGAGGCATGATTAATTTATCTTTATTTCTAGTATTACGCTTGTGTATATCGCTGTGTTTCTTAAATACAGTAATATTTTGATGGACATATAGAATACAATTAAAAATAAACTGTGTAGCATGACATGACGGACGTTAGAATATTCATTATATATATATATATATATATATATAGGTATATATTGGCGATTACAGTAAGGCTGCAAACCGGTTTGCTAAGATACAAAGTATTTAAAATGTTCGTCTCTTGAATTTCCGTTACCTACGAATTAATTATTCATAAAGTACGAGGAAAACTATTCAGAGGGTTTAGGGTCCGGCTGGGCAAGCGCCCGAGTTTTAACACGGGTTTTAAATCGGGTTCAAACCCATTAATGCCCGAAATCGAGGGCAAAAACTATTTACAACTAAATATTTGTTGTAAATCAAGTTTTGTTCAAATTTAATGATGTTATTACAAAATATTTATTGCTTTCTGATCAAGACGTTCGATTTGCTATTCTGTTGAATCGATTCGCTTGAAAATTGCATTGAAATAAACATTGACTTACAAATAAATGGACGACGGGTCTAATACAAAAACCACGAAAAAAATGTCCCAAGTCAACCTATTCGAAATTTAAATTGTTATGTCATCGCAGTATCGCGCTGTCCGTAGAACAAATGAAGACTAAAGCGGAGTGTCGCGCTCTGTATACGATTTTAGCGCCTTACAAGTGCGGACACTTTTTAGCGCGGACCCGACGTCCATATAATTGTAAGTCAATGGAAATAAATCAATACTAAATACTTTTAATCGATTTTCATGAAAATCGAAGCGTAATGTGCATCCTTAGTATTGAGAAATCACTGGATTGCGAGGTAGGTATTGTGCGCAGTTGCCTGTTTTTCGTTTAACGTGGAGCGCACTATAAGTTTCTGGTATGAATAAGAAAAAATACTATAAATGGTCAGAAATGAATCTATAGTTTCTCAAAATATTCTCCGTTAGCGTTAATGCACTTTTTCATACGAATGAACTAATTTTGAAAACATTTATGCCACTCCTCCGTGACAAACTCTGAAACATATTTTTCATACTCTTCGTCAGCCTCTTCAGGTGATGAAAATCGTTGACCGCGTAACTGGTTCTTAATTTTTGGAAATAAATAAAAATCACAAGGTGCCAGGTCGGGACTATACGCGGGATGGCTCATAAGGTCAACGTTGTTCACCTTCAAAAATTCATTTGTCTGTCTGGCCGTGTGAGAACTGGCATTATCGTGGTGCAAGATGATACGGCGTTTACGGTTATTTTTACGGAGTTTGTCAATAACTTCCGGCAAACAAATGGTCGTGTACCAATCACTATTCACGGTACAGCGATTCTCCAAAGCAAGAGCAGCCACGTGTCCAGTTTTATTAAAAAAGAAGCAGTCATCCGCTTAGAGGCACTTTGCACGCGCGCCGCTATGGTTGGTTTCGGCTCATCTCGAAAGACCCATACGCTCAATTGCTGCTTTGTTTTGGGATCGTAACTATAAATCCATGTTTCGTCACCAGTTACTATGTCCCACACCAAATTTGACGCCCCTTCGTTAAATCTGGTAAGCATGGCATTACACCAAGTGACGCGATCCTTTTTTTGAGCCTCAGTCAAATTGTGTGGGATCAGCACAGCTGTTTCACACCCAAATGTTTGTGTAGTATTGATTGTATTTGACTCATGTCTATGCCTAAAGATGCCCAAATCTCATGGTATGTCACATGCCTGTCTGTTTTTATCGTACGGCGCACAGCATCGATGTTTTTCTTGTTCACAGCAGTAGTGGACCATCACGAAATTCGTCACTGAGATTCACACGATCGCGTTTGAATTCTGCAAACCAACTATAAATAGTCGTCTTGCATGGTGCTTCATCGCCGAAAGCAGTTTGAAGCCGAGCGAAGCTCCGCTGAGCTGTTGAATTACACTAAGGGTCGTATTCTAGAACCTCTACTCAATGCTCAAGTCAAGATCTGAATATGATTTCAAGCACTGGAAATACGACCCTAATGGAAGGGACTTGAGGATGATTTCGAGTGCTTTAAACCATACTCAAATCCTGACTTGAGCATGGAGTAGAGTTCTAGAATACGACCCTTAAAGTCGTAAAAAATCATACTACGAAAATTTTCACGAGCTAAATCCATGGTGATGTAGACAACCAATTTCTAAAATAACGCCACAATGTGAAAACAAGTGACAGTCAGATGAAACAAACTATATTCATAAACAATATGTATGTAATTACCTACTGTTTAAATATGTTTAGGTAAATGATACTTACCTAAACATATTTAAACATATTTATTTTTTTTACATTTTTTTTTTTTTTTTTTTTATACCTGACAGGCAAATGACTCCACTCCACCTGATGTTAAGTGGAAAGTGGCGCCCTATGTAAAAAAAATTATACCAAATTCCTTATTCGCCGTTTCCACCCACGATTTTGAGCAGAAATGGGTTAAAACCAGAGCGGGTTGATTGGATTTTAAGCCACTGCCCATCTCTGTTACGCAGAATATACATTTGTGTAATAGAGTAAATGTTAGTACTTATTTTTAAATTACTTGTTACAGCAACAAACGAACGTGTCCATTTCAACCTCGGAATGGTATGCATGGACGAAGGTGACGCCGAATGTGCCGAGAGGTGGTTCCGTGCTGCCGTCCATCTCAAGCCTGACTTCCGATCAGCTCTTTTCAATCTGGCTCTGCTGCTGGCTGACAGGCGAAGACCTCTCGAAGCTGCACCCTTCCTCAAGCAACTGGTCAGGCATCATCCAGACCACGTGAAAGCGCTCGTGCTGTTAGGCGATATTTATATCAACTCCGTCAAGGATTTAGACGCTGCTGAAAGTGTAAGTTTTGTGTGTTTTTGTGTAACTTTGTCCTTATAAATATTATAATAACGCACACACTCAACATACACCCGCACTAGGAAAACCCTGTGTCGCGGGTGCCATGGACACACACATAGACAACCACAAAATACACCCAAGCTCACGAGAGAAATAAATATAGGCCAAACAAATATTTCTCCCGGCCGGGGAATCGAACCTGGAACATCTGCGCGGCAGTCCGGCATGGTCATCGTTCGGCCACAGAGGCAGTTAAAAACTATTACATACATAAACAATTATTAAATTTTTATTCAATGTCAGAATGTTTCACCACAGTGGTTATTCAATTATTTTTGTGAAATTACTCCACTAGTTTGTTATAATAATCAAAACTATAATTAGTGTATTACCTTCATATTTTTAACCAACTTCAAAAAAAAGGAGCTTCTCAATTCGACTGTATTTTCTTAATGTATGCCATTTCCAGAACCATCTTGAATTTAGAAATAATGCCACATTCTCAATAAGCACTCCCAAACAACTCGAAAACGTCTATAATTCTCATTGTCATACTATAAGTCTCGTTGACAATGTCGATCGTGTCTGTAGGCACCTTTACGCGATTTGTAAACCGATTTAGATGATTCTTTTGGATTGATGGGTAGAGGGTACCTCGGTATTGGTCCCATTTAAATTTTAATGAAATATTCCTCTAATACAGAATAAAATACACTGACTTAGTAGAGTAGCCGACTACTGAAAAGTGCGTGAATAATTTCAGTAAAACTTGCAAATAGATATAATTCCACCAACTGTTATGATCGGTTTATTTAGCACTCTGTGCTGACTGGGATTATCTGTAACTTTTTTCTTATAAATACTATAATCGAATATACTAAACACGCAAAAAAAATATATCTTCATATTTTTGACTGTTGAAGTCAGCCTTTAATTTTTTATCACAAGAACTGAAGTTTGGAGATCGATGTTCCAAGCAATAGGTTTTATTACATTTAGCGCAGTAATAAACACTTACGCCTTTTGATATGCTCTGTTGTTCGTGGGCAGAGTAGTTTATTGCAATATGTTGTAGGTCATCTTCAAATTGAAGTGACACAAAAGAATCTGACGGATCAGAGTCGTATCACTTCCAACTTGCCCTCAGTTCCGCTGTCTGCGTTTTCATTTAGTAAATAAATCGGCTACCTATTCTTCGTTAAGATTTATTTATAAACAAAACAAACATATTTGTTACGTTATAACCAGTGGTCGGAAAAAGCTGTTCCACATATATAGATAGTACTTCCTAGGTCAGTAGTTTTGTCTTACGACGCAGTAAAACCATTTCCGGAAATTCGGAATTCGAAAAAGTAATTAATGAATACTTGGTGTTTTCAATATTTTATTGAATTGATATTCAATTATTATTATGTGAAATTACTCCACTAGTTTGTTATAATTATTAATACAAAGATCCAACACTCATAAAAAATTCCTTCGATCCGGCCGAATTCGAACTGACGTCTTCTAGCATACCAACGCTATACCAACTAAGCCACGTAACGAACCAGCGAACCTCACGAATTTTTCTGTGTGCTTGAGTCGGATCTTTGTAGTTGTTTTTTTAACGACTTTTTAGCCGTAGCGCCATTAGAAATCTATGATATTTCGTCAGAAGTAAAGTTCGTTCCGTGGCTTAGTAGCGTCTGGCACGGTATGCTAGAAGACGTCGATTCGAATCCGGAATTTTTCTGAGTGTTCGATCTTTGTATTAATAATAATATTTGTAGGTTTTAACAATTGTATGTCGCTCCTTGTAATTATATCTATACATGTATCTATGTATATGGAACACCTTTTTCCGATCATTGGTTATAACAATGTTGAAATGTAGAAAACAACGCAAAAATCAAAACAAGTGACGAACTATCGGACGGACTATACATTTACCGTTAATACTAATGATTGCCTCCCAGATATATCCAGGATTATGATTTTTGTTCGTACTTTTCAGTGCTATCGCCGAATCCTCGAGTTGGAACCCGACAACGTGCAGGCGCTCCACAATCTGTGCGTCGTCGCGGTTGAGCGCGGCAAGCTGGAAATCGCCGAAGAGTGCCTCACCCGCGCCGCAGCGCTCGCCCCCCACGAGAACTACATCCAAAGGCATTTGGCTGTAGTGCGAGCGAGACGGGCAGCCGCGGTCGCTTCCACTTCCAAACCCCCCAACCAAGCTTCAACAACTCCCACGGCCACGACTGAAGTGCGAGCGAGATGGAACTACATCCCTCAACAGCCCCCTGATCCTCACGAAATTGATGACGCCTCATAGCGAACTCTTTAAGACTTGGAAACTGACGATGTAAATAAAATTGTTTAAAAAATTCTTGAACACCAAACGTCGAACGGCCAGTATAATATACCTAAAGTTTATTTCTTGTAACAATCAGGGTAACTTGTTCTCGAGTTAATTTTCTGGTCTAGTGCACACGGCAATTTATTTTCAGATTAATTTCTACTTCTAAACCCAATCAACACCATGCACGTTTTGAAATGATTACAAATTATGTATTAAACGAGTACTTATCCAAGATCGCGCCAAGCATTTATTAATCTTTAGTCATTTTTGATCTCATAGTTTTGCATAATTGTGGCGTTTCGTGATATTAGTTTAATTATGATGAAAATTAATAACGTAGAAAATGGAACGAGCTTTCATCTATTAGCCTGGTATACGGACATTTTGTGTGTAAATTAAAACTGGAACAATAACATAGATGAGACTTACAGTTTCCTATAATCTTTGTGTAATAGTCATTACAGATGCTAATTCGTATAATACCTAATTGTAAAATGCGTTGTTATAAATGTTGAACCAACCCATGCTTCGGTAGGCGTTGGGAATAATGTAGCATAGGAAACCCCCCGCGTAATGCCATCCCTTCATAATAAGTACTACCAGAATAAAAATACAGATAAGCATAATTTTGCTGTTGTATGTACTATACATTTTTCCATAATATTTTGTACTTATTAATTGTGCATTTATGGATCTGCGCTGTTTGACAATGTTTCGTAACATTACGTAAATTTATCGCATGCTCCAAGATCAATGTAACGCCCTTACTAAAAAAATTATTACATACGAAAATTACGGGGAAAAGGACATAACTGGTACGTTTTAAAATTTTGAGATTTCCATAAAATTTTTATAGGGCATGTATTTAAATGCTCATTTTAAATTTGCAAAAGCAGCAGGCAATAAAACCTAAAAACTGTCATCTTTTTTAATGATTGATGCTTTTTCTCAATGACATTGATATAAATTAAATCAATATATATTTTAATTTGTTTTGAGCTAATGTTTAATTTGTATAAATTAACTTTGATAGTTTCATGTTGAGCCTCAATACTCAAACAAATGAGCATTACAAAAACCTGAAACCACGTTCGGAAACGCAAGCAAAATTCGCTTCTGGCACTCGCTGGCCGCATACTAAATCTGACTTCAAGATAATAAGAGAGAATAGAAACCTAAGCACAAGCTCAGACAGGTGAAAATAACGTTGCCCGCTGTGTGCAGCCGAATGCTCATAAATGAGACTTGTATGGGCGCTTGTGTCGACGTCGGTACACTCAGCGGTAGGCACTTATCGCGTAACCTCGAGCGAGTGACGGAGCCAGGGTCCGCTCTAGGTACTAATACTGAAACCTCTCTTTTGAAAAGTTGTCATTTGACAAATGTGGCCTTATTATAGCAATGATGCGAGTTATATAGTTGCCCGGAGATTTGGGCTCCACAAAAATCGTACAGGAAAAATAAGTAATAAAATAAAAATAAATTTTCTCCGAAATAATTGTGTACCATGTATATAATGTACCACGTCCGTTCCCTGTAGTCTTTTACATACGGAGCATGTATAACGTTATAGCATACGTATGTAATAAGCAAATATGCCTCACTCGCAAATCGAAACTATTATGGGCGCGACAGCCATTATCCTACTACTTGAAAGACTGCTTCAAGTTGGTAAACAGTTTTGGTATCAAAGGATTAAATCTTTCAACTCCATTGCAGACAGGTTCGTATATATAAAACCGACTGTTTGATAATTTGTATAATATAAAATAACAACCAATGCGTTGATTGCCACGGTCCTGACTGTAAGTGTGAATTGTATGGGAGATAACCAGCCAAGGTACTTTAATATGGAAATCATAAGTCGACGAGTAGAAAAACTAAAGGTTATTTTCGTAAACGCTAATGTTAACATTGTGTAAAAATTAAAGTGATCGACCGTTATTAGATATTAGCTGTGAAAAAAATGTAACGTTGTTAATGTTTTAAGATAAAAAGTAACTTTTGTAAAAACTGAATTTTTTACAATGTCTTGAAACATTTCTGGCGAGGACACTGACGGGAGTTTGGATTCGTAAGGACCCCGTGTATTATAACTATTTGTCGTCAAAACGTTTATTTTTATAAAATAAAACGATGTTTCAAATGGCTGAATAATTGTTTGATTCTAAAACTACCCTTTCTATGTTGTAATATTTTTTATTAAGTACAACGTGAAGTTATACAACAACCGTAAACAGTCAAGCGTCAACGCTTGTTAACGATGTACCAACCCTTTCCGTTAATATACACGATAAATGATCACGATACGAAAAAAATCCAAGTGTGACAATCGATCTCTTTGCTTATCTAACGCCAGGATTTCCTGCGAAAAACAGTCAGAAAATTAAACTATTGAAAAAAATTACATGGTCAATTAGAGGACTTGTCTAAATGCCATTAAATTTTCACATCTGTCCTTTGTTTCGCAGTTTTGTCGGAAGCATTTGCAAATTATTATTATTATAATAAATATTTTAACGTCGAGTTGCGAACACCAACCAGTCTTTTTTTAAGAATTCTTGGACCCACTTGTTAGTAATACAAAAGATTTAGGGCGCTTACAAATTAGACGCTTATAGAAGCGTTGCAGTAGCGCGATACATCTTACCTAACTGTTACAGTGTCACGACAGTGTCGCTGCGACAGCACTTCCAGATATTGTATGAAAATTAGTAGTGGCACAGCTGCTGCGTAATATATAAGCGTCTAATTTGAAGGCGCCCTTGATCTAAAGGCTTGTTAGTAATATAAAAATGAATTCAACAAGAGAAAATTTTCATTCTATGATTATTCATAGCGCTGCGACTACACTTCCAGGTATTGAATGAAAATTAGTAGTGACGCGACTGCGCGACACAGACGACACTGCAGTGCTTCTGTAAGCGTTTGAATTTGAACTAGAGACTGTTATAAAAATAAATTTGACAAAAGAACAATTACATTCTATGACTGTTCGTGGTGCACAAAATCAGAAAGAATGTTATGACAGAATAAAGTTAGTATTGCATTGCACACAAATTGTGTTAACTTTTATAATTTTAATCAAATTGCAATTTAGTCGGTGGACTAATTGACTATTTTTTCTGGGTGCATTCAGGCGCTTTGGTTCTCGAAATTCAAAATTGTTGTGACCGTCAGGATGGCTGGTCGCCTGTGGCGTCTAGCGCCGAGTGTATATTCAAGAATTGCTACCTTTTCTATTTAGAAAAGAATATATTCGGAAAAATTTTAAAAAATAATTGACTAGCCATTCTGATATCAGGATGGCTGGTCGCCACTTTGTTCAGCATGAAGGGAGCAGATTTTCCTAAAGTATGTATTACCAATAATTGCTACCTATTTACTACTTTCACGAAATATAGGCATACGCTTCCTATCTACATTAGTTAAAAAATATAAACGATTGAAAATTTTACGAAGAAGTGCCAACGCCTGTTTTATATTATGGCAATAGAGCACTAAAAACTTTTGCTTTTTAAAATTTAATCAGGCACTTCGTAGACAACATCCTTATACTAGATCCTTAAAAACTTTAAAACGGCGTAACGATTAAATATAGTTTCGTACGACTAAAACCGACTAAATCAGGACTTTTTTAATAATAATGTAATCAGATGTAAGCCAGGTGTTGTTAATCTTGGTGAATGGTGTCGCTGGAATAAGATTTTATTCCAGCATGGACAGAAATACACCCGTATAACTTTAGAACGGCGGACCGACTAAATTTAGTTCTTTGCAACTAGAATAGACTAAATGGCGACTTTTTACTTGACTAGTCAAATTTCAATAACTGGTCAATAAAGAACGTCATTTTGAGACAAAATATAGTTTTCTTATGTCCTCTAGAGATGCTGTACAGACGGCAGTACATCAAGCAACGCATTGACGGATCTTGTTCCGTCTTACTGGAGGCAATATTTGAACAAGGCATTATGTGAAAAAAAGCACCATTTTTATGACAACCGAATGCGTAAGGCTTAATTATTTTTAAGTAACTTAGTAGCTAAACTTTTTTTTTTTTTAATTGTGACTCGGCAAAATGACTGCACCGCGCCTGATGGAAAGTGCGAATACAGTCCAGAGATGAGAGTAACGGATGGAAAACACAAATATCTTCACTCCGTCACTATCATTTTGCCGGTCTGGCCAAATGCTTCTTCTTCTTCTCCAAACTTGGAGGAACACCGTTCAATTCCACATATTTTTTAACAACGACTAACTTTAAAACGCCAATGTACGGTATTTGCAATTAATGTATTAAATGCCAATAAACCAAAAGATCATGAACTTCAGGAACGGGACTCACAACACGTGCGTGCTGGTAATCTCGTCTGTGTACTGTTTCAAAATTTACCAAAAAAAAAAGGGCGTATTTAATAAAAGAACAGTGTTTTAGGTGTAAAAGATTCACTATATTGTTGTTGTTTTGTATTTGTACAGTCAGCACTTACAATTTCAAAACAATATCGACTCCGTTACACACTCCTTAAAAATAGTTCTCAATCTCCTCCACTATTCGAATTTCTTAAAGATCTACTTTGTGGAATTGCTTAGAAAATTGCTCTTTATTGCAGTTCTTAAAGGGTTAGCTGGTCTAAATTGAGCCCTAACATATTATAACTCGAACCAGTTCTTATACAAATGGCGATATTCTTTTAATATGTAAGACTCAATTTAAATTAGTTTTACAAAGAGTGCATGTAGTGTACAATAGTTGTTTCAATGCAAAAGAATAGGTTACATTCGGTTAGGCGGAGACCTGCGCCGCATTTTACATCGAATAGATTTCTAAAAAAACCAATTTTAAAGATAACATTCTATTAATAACGCAATTATGCACTCTCTAATAAAACTACAGCCAATTTGCAGAAACAATTCTTAATATAGTCGAGGGTAACAAGCGAAAGGACAATCTAGCATTACTGAAGACGTAATACCTACTATACTTATTATTTTAAGTACTATCACGGTTTCCAGTCTATCTTACACCTCCGCCGACATCAAGTAAAGGAAAATACACAGGGCAGCTACCTCGCGGCTATTAAAAAATTTGTTAACAAACGAACTTTAACATAAAATATCTAATAAAAATAAAGGAATATAATTTACCTACTTATATACAGTTTTTATGCTCTTACAAAGGTTAGTTGCCATTGGACCTACTGGATACTTTCAACTTTAGAAATGTTTTTTTTTCTCTTATATTCCTATTAATAGTAGTACAATGAGTAATAAAAAAAATCTTAGTGAGCATAAACACCCGGTGGGACCAACGGCAATACAAATGTTAAAATACTTTCAATACACTCTTTTTCCCAATTATATCTTAAGTTTTTTTTTTAATTAATTTAAATTAGTTTTGTTCCTCCCTCTTTAATGACTTCAAACTTTAAGGCAACGTTTCTATATTGACCTCAAAAAATTTTGTTTAACGTCAGTGATTAAAAATCACTGAACAAAATATTGGAAAAGGGCAAAATCAACAATCAAACAAGTTAAATGTAATAAAAAAAATTTCGACAACAGAAACAATGTCGACCGCTCAAAATAAAACTAATATTCTAATAACAACATCTTTTAGTCTTCATTAGACTTGTACCAGAGACATTGATAAAAAAATCTCAAGGTAATCTTCAAATAACGTAATCCAACTAAGTTACATTAATCGTAATATAATTGTGTGTACAGTCAAGTAACAAAAGCATTTGAATCACATCAAAATTAGTTAATAAAAAAGGCACAACTTAAAATAAACTTTGTGTCACATCTTTTAGAAAATATTTTAACATGAACATCCTCAACTACTCAATGCCATTTGACTGTACAATCATTGTCGAAACTTGTAATACATCGTAAGTCTTACATTGAAAAAAATAGTTTTACAAAAATATTCAAGTACAAATCTTGCATTATCTTCCCCTGGTACCACCAGTAGTACTATGGAAAGTATCACTACCGGATTTACTAATACAAAGAGTTACACCATAAAATAGAATCATGGTCAACGGTATTCCCTATAATACAACCAGTGTTTTAAACATTAGTAAACGTAGGTTCGTTACTGACAAAAAACCGGTAGCCAAACTGTCCCATAGACAAATTAGTAAGGTATACTACATACATCAACACAGCAACACGCTGATACTTAACAATCTTACAATGTGTAGCGATTGGTTTATATGGCAATCCTGCGCTTTTATACCAATGTAATATCATACATTATATATATATTTAGTTTTGACAAGCTTAATAATGTCCGCACCCCTCATGGAAGAATGGCATAAGTGAAGTTACGTCAAAAATGGTCATTGCTCCATTGGATACAGAAAAATATAACCTACATCCTCTCCAATTCTTGTAACTCTATCGATTAATATTGTAGACAGAGTTACGAGAATTGGAGAGAATGTAGGTTATAGTTTGTGTATCCAATGGAGCAATAAATATTTTTGACGTAACTTCACTTACGCTATTCTTCCATGAGATGTGCCATTGTTACAATGGGTTCTTCATTCATGGGTTTAAGACATTACAGAGACGTTTTTCCTGTAACTACCAGCATTCATATTCATTAATATGTACACACATACAGCGTAAACACATTTAAGTTATATTCCGGAACATAATTGAATTCTTAAATTTTCTTCCACACATTTAAGATATGCCATGACACTTTCTGAGTTTTAATAAACACTACCTATAAAAATCGAATTTGAATTTAGCTACGTATATACATACATACTTATTGATGTACATGAATTAGCCTTCAGCTCTTATAAAGGTACTAAATAGAAAAATGTCCCATGTAACTCTTAGAGTGCTTGTCAAAGATACTTATGGGGACCAGTCATAAATGCAGCATACCTCTTTCTAAGTCCAATTACCGACTAGAATGGAAAGTTAGACCAGATTTCGTTATTATGACGTCTTCTCCGCTTAGTGAAAATAACGAATTTCTAATCATCGCATAACTATTCCGCTTTGGAAGATAATGGACTTAACAGAGGAAGAAAATGAAATGTTGTCGTCATTAGCTGCATATAAAATAATTTAATTTAGTGCAATAAGGAACAGTCGGTCGTGGTAAACACAGCCTTATACTACATGGCATCTCTTCACTGGCAGTCGTCGTCACCGTCAAAATCTTCCTCCACCACCTCCGCGTGATTTTGCTGTTGAACTAAAGCTAAGGGCCCCTTTTTGTATGCTGTCATTTCCTGTAAGAGGGAAACAGATTAGCACCCCAAGAAGTTTGCTGTCAAACGAGGCGTTATCATCAAATACTGGCTGTTTCTACTCAACGGTTTTCTAATAATACGGTTTGACAAGACCGTGAGTTTCGAGACATTCAGACAAAAAACATTTTTCTTTTAAGTTATGGTTTATTTTTCAACGTAATCTTTTAACTCTATACACCTTGACCAGGGATATCCCAACTTCTTCAACGCCTCAAAAAATATTTTTTGTCAAACTGAAAAATGAGCCTCTGTTTCAGCTATTTGATGCAAATCGGTAAACAATCAGATACAAAAATTCAAATGAGGCCAAATGTGGCAATAGTTCGTAGGTATCATAATAATTCGACAAGTTTTGATGTTCTTATTACAGATGAGAAACGGAATACCCGAAATTCCATCTCCAAAAAATATACTGACCTAGTCGAACTTTTCATTTTTTTATTTTATTTTCGCGCTTATTTTTAAAAAGTAACGAGTTCTAAATTAAGAAATAAAAATAAATTCGGAAAAAAAATTTTTATTTAACTTTAAAGTCACGTATTTATCAAACTGCCCTCGTATATATACCACCACATATAGTATGGCCCCAAGACTGTTCCAAGGTTCTGAAGGTCCATTTTGCAAGTCAGTCTGACGTTCAGAAATATCAATTCTATATTATTATAATCCTGTAATTTCGAAACCTATTCTTTATATCTTTATATTTCAGTTTCTGAAGGTCACGAATATAGGTTTCTAAAAAGCATTTGACATTTCACGTTCTTGGCTGACCTTTAACTTACACGGTCAGGGACGATATTATCTAACTTTCACCAAACCACCAGTCCACGTAAGGCCGTCAAAATTCCGTGGTTGCCCATTTGAGTTCTCATCCCCCTCAGTTTATTTTTTTATTTATTATTTATTACCAGTCTCACAAGCTATGGCCTGCCCTTTGTTGATGGGTCATTCCATAACAAATATAACACCTGATACTATACTTGAGACGGTCTATGAGTTATAGTCATTACAAACAAGCTAATAACTAAAATTTATTTCTAAGCTTCATGTACTTGACTTGTGAGGCAAATCCGGACACTAAAAATTTGTCCAAAAGATTTTAATATTTTTCCATTTAAATATGTAAAAGGTATAGTTTCGCATAAACTTCGACATAGTCCTGAAAACTGTATGTACAGTTGGACTGCAAGGTGAAATGACCTTGTTAATTTGTCGTATGTACACACTAATACTTAATTTATTTTTTGTCCCATAAAATGGTAGACAGATTCCATCAATTTTTAAAATTATTTGTAGGATTTCTGAGGTCTCACAGATAGGTTCAACTTGCATTTAATTTATTACAATTTAATTGCATTTGTAAATTTTTAATTAATGATTTCTTTTCCAAAAATCACATTTTTTAAGTTTTATAAAAGTTCATTTTTGTTTTGAAATAGGATATTCTAACTAAAACTAAATATATTACATCAATATTGTGCACATTTATCAGCAGTTCCAAGCTAAAGAGTGTTTTATAAATTACCTTTAAGTATTGAACGTGTGTAGTTTGTGAACTCCTTATTATGTTAGTATATTATTGGGTCTTAAATAAATAAATAAACTTTCATGACAGAGAACTCTTAGCGCGTTAGCGCACTGACTGATTTTAGTAGAAGTAGAGCTCCTTGTGAAAGTCCAGGGTTCGTCCAGTAAGGTACTGCCACCTTACCTATTTCTGCCGCCAAACAGTAATGTCAACACTATTGTGTTCCAGTTTTGAAGGGTGAAATTACAGGCACATTGGGACTTGTCAACTTATGTGTCAGGGTGACGGGAGCCGTGGTAGTGCCCCTCAGATCTTTGCAATTTAAAGCTCTGAGTGGCGCTGCAACTGTTATGGACAGGCGTGTCTTACCATCAGGCGCGCGACTTGTTCGTCCCGTCACTTGATGTTATAAAAAAAAAAGATAAAATCGCACCCCTCATGGAAGAACATGAGAGGTGCGATTTTACATGACATAATTCCACTTATGCCACTCTTCCATGAGGGGGGCAACACGACACTTCGGACACCTATGACATTTCGGACCGTTATTTCTCGGATTCGAGTCAGGGGGTCTACTCTCGATCTCCGTCCGAAACAATTACTGTTGTCAAATAAGTAATATTCTACAAAATTAGAACAAGTATCAAGAATGAAGCTTCATTCGCATCACGCGTCTTTTCATTTGGTCAAGTATTGCTTATTTGGTAGTAATTGTTTCGGACGGATGTCGGACGGAGATCGAGAGTAGACCCCCTGATACGAATCGGACGTAGTGCGCGCAAGAGAGAATGTCTTGCAAGAACTGATGTCGATACCGGATCTAAAAGCACTTACCCGGTCGTAGCGCGCCTTATCCTGCTCGGAGAGCGCCTCGTACTTGCCCTTGGTGTCGGGGTCGGCGGAGGCCCAGCGCCGCCCCAGCTCCTTCGCGATATCGCCCATCGTGTACTCCGGGTTGTTGGCCTTCACCTTCGAGCGCTCGTCGTTGCAGAACCAGAAAAAAGCCGACCTGCCCACAATTTACCACTTACACTTGCCGTTACATAGACATTATCTATGACAGTTACAACTTACGGTTGTTGTCTACAATTAAAACGACCGGTGAGTTCAAAGTGGTCAACAATATATCGTCGCCTTACTTACTCCAACTCGTATCTTAAAGCACAAAGTAACTGAAATGCAAAAAATTGATCGATGTATATATAAATTTAGCAGACCGATCATCATATTTCCTTCATATTCACGCACTGGCTTTTACCTATTCTTAAAATAATCCATCAAAATTAACACCCTTGATAAGAAATTTAAAATAAATAGAAAGTTTTGCCATCTCCTGAATAATAATAATAATAATAATAACGCACACACTCAACATAGCCCCGCACTAGGGAAACCCTGTGTCGCGGGTGCCATGGACACACACATAGACAAACACAAATTACACTCTTTATTGAATAATATTTGAATAATCACTCTTTATAAGATACGTGTTGGAGAAAGTAAGGCATCAATATCATAAAACCTATTTGTTAAAGAATGTAATGTGTAATTTGTAACATGAGTATTATTTTTCCATTAACTAGCCGTTTGACACAAGACACTAACAGTTCAAAGTAATGTATGAGTTGTCTGATAGGGAGAGGGCCTGGTGAACTGAATACAGATCTAGTACCTAGTATATTTATGTTTGGGTCTATTAAGTATAAGATTTGTATTAAGTGTAAGATTTGTATTTGTGTTTGAGAAATAATTTATTGTTTTAACAAAATGACTAAACCTAATGAAACAGGTTACGTGTAGAAATAATGTCTTTATCGAAAGTGAAATTTAGTAAATTTTGCCGTTTTGCCATTTTCAAAAGGTTTAACCACTACGTTGTCATACGATTTTGCGTGTGATATTCAGACTACTCCTTGCACGTCGAGTGCTGAGAAATTCTGGCAATACCACATACTGCAATCTGATTTCATTGGCTTATTATATCTGTGATGTTTTCTGTATCCAACGATAATCCCCTCGTCCCCGTACTTTTTTCCATATGCTGGTGCATACGCATCGATCATTACGGCGCTAACTACATCAAGTGTGTACAATGTATAGTTTACTATGATCAGTTACGGCTGCAACCGACAAGCTGGACTAATTCCAAAGGCTAACATGCATGGCGACGACCGGCTGCATGAGAACAACTCCAACTGCGGCGCTCGAAGCAATGCTGGACTTGCGACCCTCCCACTGTTCATCAGACAGGAAACGGCGTCAACAGCAGTGCGACTAAAGAGAGCCGGCCTTTGGAGGCACATGAGGACCCCACATACAGATATCCTTTATATGATTGTCAAAGAAGAACCGCTACTGGAGGCGACTGTGGATAGGATCCCAAAAGAATACATTTTTGACAAAAAATACAAGGTACAATTGTTTGAAGATACCAACGAAGGACTAAACCTCAGAGAGGTCCGCGTCTTCACCGATGGACCAAAAACAAACTCAGGAACAGGTACTGTATTCTCAGAAGACCTCAATATCAGGGTATCAACACTGCTTGGTGACCACAACACAGTATTCCAGGCTGAATGTACGGGTATCAAGTTGGCAGCAGAAGCAATAATAGCGAGAAGAGTAAAGAATCACCCCATTCGAATACTCACCGACACCATGTCAGTACTTCAAGCGCTGAACAGCTATAACATTAACTCAGGGCTTATATATGAATGCCATCAAGCACTCATGGAGGTATGTATATACAACCACGTAACTTTACAGTGGATTAAAGGACGCAGCGGTTCACGTGGCAATGACGCAGCAGATGAACTAGGCCAGAAAAGGGTCGGAGATGGATGCTGTAGAACCAGAACCCATAGTGTCCCTCCCCTACCAATGGTCAAGAACAACAATACACAAAGGTACAAAATCTTCTTATAATAACATATGGACAACCCTTACGGTTTGTAGACAGGCTAGGGAAGCACTCCCTACGCTCAACGCCAGTCTATCTCGTAAATTAATAAAACTTAAAAGACAAGAGCTTTGCACTCTATCTGCCTCTGTAACAGGTCATGGTCCATACAATAAACACCTCTTCAATTTAGGTATCACGGACAGCCGTCTATGCAGAGCGTGCATGGAGGAGGAGAAAACGGCCGCGTACATCCTACTAGAGTGCTCCGGCGTGGCCAACTATAGGGCAAAGTACCTTGGAGTGCCAAGGTCGCTCACCGAAGTCTTGAGCAAACCGAAGAGGCTACTGAGATTCCTAGAGGAGCTTGGTTGGCACGAGTAGGACGCTGCACCCACGCAAAATAGGCGCCTCGTCTTCGAGTTGCGGACACTAGCCACCAAGTACCAAAATGTATAATTTACTATATTTTAACTGAAACGCGTAAAGTCCTTCATCAATGTATATTATGACTAGTTATAACACGACTAGATAAATGAAATAAATAAATATAGCATAATTTTTACGTGACAAAGCCCATGTTGCGGATTGACATATTCGCACTTGTGTCATATTATATGCGTTATATTAATAATTTATATCCAAAATTTCGCTATATTTGTATGTCATTCGTATACGATTTAATTTCAAAGACAGGACAACACTGTCGCTTTGAAATTAAATAGGGAATATTACTATAATCTAAAGCAATATTGAGATAATACTATGTTAATTGTCGTGTGCCGTATGTAATTAATTTAGTTTTTGAAGTTACGAAATAAAGATTATTTGAAAAAATAAAATAAATATGAAATAAGTAAACATTGTGAAGAAATCAGCACATACAGCACACACAACAGAGAAAAAGCTTTTCGAAGACGTTAAGTCCACTGCACTGGGTCAACAAAGTCAAACATGTTCAGCCAGGAGCATGGATAGTAAATTAAAGGTAAAAACTCGAGACCGTAACTCACAGCGATCGCTTCGGCGCGTTAGGGTCCTTCATCTGCTGCCGCTTGCGCCCCCTGCCGATCTTCATATCCTTGGGAGGCACATAGTTCTGCATCTCCAGATCGTAACGCTTCTTGTCATTCTCGGCCATGGCTTGGAACCTTTGCTTTTCTTTTTCTGTCATTGTCTGTTCATTACAAAGGGAACTTTTAGTATAATTACTCGTAGGAACCAACCTAAGAAAATAAATATTAGACACGTCACATACGTTGCTCTGATCCCAAAGTAAGTAAAGCACTTGTGTTATGAAAATCGAAAACAACAGCGGTACTACAGAGCCGAAACTATATTGAACAGTTAGTTCTACATTGACCCAGCGGGGGATCACACCCGGAGAGATAGCGACACCATGGAAACCAGTGTACCAGCCACTCTCGACTATGGAGATCGTCATTGCGTGACTGACAAGCTGCATGATAATATGTCACACTATCGCTACATCTGAATGGTCTCCCATACATTCCCACCATATTACATAATAAAGATGCTTGCATTCGCCTATTATGAATATTATAAATCGTAGAATGACGCAATGAATTAATAGACTGTCATATAATAAGATTCCAATTGTAATTCAAAATTTGCCATTTAGGTTCAAAACTATTGTGAAACAAAAACTTTACACTCAAGGTTACCTCGATACCTCCATTGAAAAAATACGACAACTTTTATTTTTGGTAATTTTATATTATTTTGTAAACAGCCGTATATTTATTTACTAATGTTATGCTTCCGGAATTTTGTGAAAAAAAAAATAACGAAACATAAAACTTTTGTTTTTTGTTTTGTTACTTTTTTTTCAGTTTATTTTTTCGAAAAAATAAAACAAAACACTAATTTTGTGGAAAAAAAAAGAAACAAAAAATAAAATAAAAACAGAACAGGTCCAAAAATTAAGATGGCTTAGTGTTAATTGGAGGCATCAACCTGTATACTTGGATGACAAAAATCCATGACAGTGACCCGTTTAGCTCATGTAAGTTGTCTTGATCTATCATGATTGAAATAAATGCTGTAAATGATAAATGTCTACAAATGTTTATTTACAAAGAGCAATCCTTAGTTTTTCATTCTTATCTGGAGAATCTACCTTACTGATGAGTAGTAGTTTAATCAAAGTGACATTTTCAAGTGTAATTTGCTTACCTATGACATAAAATTATTTGTGTTTGATAAGTTTATGGCCATCTAGCATATAACCAGAAATACAGACGAAATGTCATTAAATTTCTTTGAAAACTGTTTCGCAAAATCATTACTGTGACATCTGCGCTCCAATTGGCCAGCCCGAATTCGAAACAATTGACGGGTGTCGTCAATTGTTTCACTTAAAATCGACCAGTTTCAATTGGGAATTGAAAAATCACATACTTAATATTGAATTACCGATGAAATGTGATTCCGCTTGTTTTTTAATTAGATATTTTGTTTTTGTTTTCCACACCACCAAATGGAACAACTCCCATTGTTAGAGATATTATCTTTATTACAATAAATACAGAATATTTTAGGAAAATGCGGAGACGTACACGCAGGTCAGTTGTTGGCGCTGTACTATTTCAGTTTTCCAATTTGTGATTTCATCATGATGATCAGCGCAAATGAGAGTTGATATTTAAAAGTGATATAAGGCCGATTTGCCTGAGAGTGCCAGGTATGTACGGCCCTTATGTCGTCTCTATTTCTGGTTATATACTCGATGTTAATGGCGTACCGGTCTTAAGTTTAGTACAATTGGAATAAAATATTCTTGATAGTTGTGTGTTTTTCAAATCCTATTCATGAAAAATACGTTACAAAATATCAATTAATATTGTTTCTATTGTGTAGTCTACTATGAAAAATTGGATAATCAGCTGCCCCAAAATTACGCCCGTGTAAATACGTGCGTATTGGCTGAATATGTAATCTCGAAATGCATCTCAAGCACTCCCGTATTTATAGGCTATAATAATCAGCATCTTGGATGGTACCAAATAAAGTGATCGAGACCCTGCACTTGGATTAGGACTTTATAATAATGGAACCGCGGCTTAAGTGCGAACATTTTTGCAACTCTCGAATGATACGCAATAAATGAGTAATTTTTATGTGCATTCAAGTGATATAATTCATTAATAAAAAGTTGATTTTAGTAAGATCTTAATATCAGGGGGTCTACTATCGTTCTAAGTCCGACATTCGTCCGAAACAATTACGGTCAAATAAGTAATACTCGACCAAATTAAAAAAAGTCAATGAAGAAAAATCTTCTAATTTGTTTCAGTATTACTTATTTGACAGTAATTGTTTCGGACGGATATCGAAATATGAACGAGATTTATAGTACAGGCCCTATATTTGAGAGGTCTATTAATACGAGGTTGAGATTGCCATAAAATAGTTTTTTTTTTAATTCTGTCACAAGATTATGGTTTTCTCTCACTTTGTTCGTCAGATCATTCTGGAATTGAGCAATCCGGTTTGCAGTCACCTAGTTAGCTAATACAGTTCTACGTAAGGGCATCACTACCATTTCATAGAAACATCATGATTTCAATCAAATTAAATTTCAGCTCAAATTTAAAATACAGTGATCGATTTAATTATAAAGAAAGAATTAGCCTTAAGAACTTACATTCCACCTCTCAGCGCATTTCTTAGAAAACGCTGCGAAGATAACATTTTCATCAGGGTGCTTCTTCTTGTGCTCTTCCCGACAGGTCTGTACGAAGAATGCGTAGGCGGTCATGCGCCCACGCGGCTTGTTGAACGCCCTAGCTCGCGGCATCCTACCCTTAGTCGCAGTTGGTTGAGTAGTTACAGCTTGATGTTGCTGTTGCTGCAACTCCTATGCCAAAATTACAATAAATGAACGTGTATGGCATCATGTTTATGTCTAAATAAAAAAGTAAATAATATGTACTATAATATTGATACTCAATAACGTTTACTTTACATTTTAATGAGAAGTATGTCATGGAAGTATAACTAATTATTAACCACAGATTGTCATGTTAGAAACATCAATATTTTGGGGATCAATAACCCTCCTAGGAATTTGACTGATCAATAATGTTGTCCTTTTTAAGATGCTGTTTATCATATATTTATTATATCTTGTCTTCAGGATGTTGAAATCAGCTTATATAAATTCATAACAGTTGTTGTCAACATATACAGGTTGTTGATTTGATCAATGAGTTCTGTCAATGAAGTTAATTTACTTGTCCGTGAACAATCACAACTAGACCTACAATATGTTCTATATAAAAAGACATGGGTACTTGATGATAATGTATGGAAGATTATTTTATTTACATTTGAGATAAGACCCCTCAGTAAAAATTGCTCTATGTGCATTCAAGTGATATATAGTGAGCTAAAGTGTATGTATGCATGTGAAGAGTGTTAACATTTGTGGTTCCTTGTGGAAGGGAATCTATGTGTATTCAGTAAATATTCTATCAGAGCTTTTCACCACGCTTCTTGGTATCCTCAAAATTGTATAAAGAACATTTTTTTAAGTAGCAAGCTTATTTGCGATAGGTTCTTCAACCATAAACAGGTCTGACAGCATTAAAAAATAGAAAACTTAAAAATATATATATATACAAGCTACCTGTAAACTAGCAGATTGTCGCTGCAAAGCAGCCTGAATGTGTTGATGTTGTACAGCTAAAATATTGTTCTGCAGTGTCTGCTGTTGCTGCTGCAGAGTCTGCGCTACCTGATAGATTAAAAAATAATAATAATAATAAAACACATACACACAAAAATAAAAATACTGGTAAAAGATATGAAAAAGGAGCATCAAAGACTATTTATGGTGCAGCAATTAAATGGAGTCACAACTCAGTGTTGGCTTTGCCCAATGCGAATCATTGATTTCCAGCTTTTTACCTGCTGCTGTAACGCGGCCTGTGCCTGCACTATAGCCTGCGCCTGAGCTTGAGACACTTGCAGGGTCTGCTGTAGATTTTGTATTGCTTGCTGTTGTTGCTGCTGCTGTTGCTGTTGTTGCTGCTGTTGTTGCTGTTGCTGTAATATTTATCTTATTCAAAAGACTACCTTATTATAACAATATGATTGATGATTATCAAACGTGATTGTAGAAAAAGTAGAGAAGCATGTAGAAGAAACAGGATAAATTATTATGTTTTAAAAATATTGGTGTGACATGAAGTTCGAGAAAAAGCTTCAGAAAGAATAGAATGGATTTCCTACAACAAACGCCTGGCTTTGAAACATATTTACAGTAGTTCAAGAAGTATTTAAAACTATATTTCAATGAATAAACAGCACATTGTATTATAAAAATTGTAATGTAACAGCACAAACAACTAAGGGTCGTATTCTAGAACTCTACTCAATGCTCAAGTCAGGATTTGAGTATGGTTTAAAGCATTCGAAATTATACTCAAGTCCCTGCCATTAGGGTCGTATTTCCAGTGCTTGTGTTTCAATTGCAATCCTGACTTGAGCATTGACTAGAGTTCTAGAATACGACCCTAAGACTACAAAAATAAAAAATAAAGGTTTTTCTAAACATTTTAGTTTTCTAAATACAGAACAGCTGCCAAAAATGAAAATTCTCCAGAGTATTCTATGAAGCATTATGTGACAGTTGAACACTGATAATATAAATTAATTATCTTTAGTCAATGTAATTGGAGTCAAAAATGCTATCCAGACATAAGTTTCTATATTGATTTTCACCTCTAACTGTTGCTGCTGCTGCTGTTGCTGATGCTGCTGCAGCATCTGCTGCAGAGTCGGTTGCTGGTTCTGCTGTAGGGTCTGCTGAAGAGACTGGCTCTGCTGAAGCACCTGCTGCAGGTTCTGCTGTTGCAACTGCTGTTGCAAGTTTTGGATTTGGCTCTGATCCTGACGCTGCTGCAGTTGGTGTGTTTCCTGCTGACTGGCTTGCTCTGGATCAGGACTTGACTGGTTCTGTGTCTGCAACAAAACAAATAAGTAAATGCTGCTTCAAATATTTTTAAAAACAATCATGTTATGTTATCACAGTACAACAATCTGATTCAGCATTTACAGTGTAAGGAACACACCAAAACACATGCTACTTATTGGATCAAGTTCAGAAATTTGTTGACTGGTACTAAATGCCGGATGCAACTTTAAACATGATATATAATCTGATATTCGGCAGTGTGACACGAACAAAAACTATTTAAACAAAATAATGTTTGAATAGATAAGTATTTAGAATATTACAAGTACATATATCTTACAATTTGTCAAGTTAGTGATTTAACACTCTTTTTAAAGATTTTTCACTCTTTCTGGCCGTAACCCTGAGGGTATAACCTACAAAGATGAAGAGTTGTTAGTAGCAAATCCTATGTGGCATTATGCCTTACATGAAACCTCCACTGCAGTTCACTGCACTATCATAAGTTAAGCTCTGTATCTATTTATCTCTGTATCTACTTAAGCCCCGATAATGTTCGTTGGTAGCATTACCAATAAAACTGAAATAGGCCGGATAAAAATCAAATTAAATTATCTTTAAACAACCTACCGAAGTCATCGGCAAATATAGAGTTACCAAATCTACTCGGTGCACCGAAAAAGTATAACAAACTGACATACCGGCTAACACGAATATCAACTTACTATGTTTCAAGCTTTCTAAGTTTCTGGCAACAATTTTAACACATTTCCAAAATTTCTCAATACTACCCTCACTTATTATATTAGATTCCTACATTAGTCTTTCTTTCACTAAGAAAAAAATATGGTTGGAAAGTGCAATGAATGAGCTATATTTTCCCGGGCGGAAATAAGAATGAATGATGTTTAGCAAAAACGTTAACTAACAATAATGTAAAAAATATTTATTTCTAAAAACAGACAGAACGGAATAAATATTTTTAACATTGCTTTGTCACATATTTTTCTAAAACTATTTGAAAATTTTCGGACCTAACCTTACCCACCACAACCTATTTATTAAAAATAAGCGCATGTCGCCTTTTCTACCACAAGGTAAAGATATTAATTGAAGATTCTGTATGATTGGAACCTTTGCCTATATTTAAATTTATCGTGTAACACAGCCGTGATTATAAAGTATAGGTGATAGTGAATTATAAACTCAAAACCAAAGCCGATATTATAATGTTTGGTTTTAAAACCTTGGAAAACGTGGCAGCAAAGCAGAAAAAGAATCCAAAATACTCGATGGCGGAATCGGGAATGAAGTAAATTCAACAGATTTTTGGTGTGGCTATTAATTAAAAAATACTGCACAGACAACAGTATGGGTGTTAGAAAATTAAAAGTGTTATTTTAAAAGAACAAAATTGATAGCGTTCGAAAATTCCATTTTTTCTTACTAGAAATGATTTTGTCTTAAATTCGGAATAAAATTACATTGCGAGTAAATGAATTTCAAAATTTAAATTTACTTATTCGCAATATTTATACTAGTTTACTACTTATACATTTGAATTAACCACTTAACTCCTATACAAAATAGAGTTTCTCTAGTCTTACTACACTATCTAATAAACGAGGCCGTACAAGTTTTTTTTTAAAATAATGTATTTATAATGTAAAGCAATAGCGTCAGAATGCTTAAATCGTTATAAGATCATAGATGAATAATATATTCTCATACATAATACTGGAAGAAGTTCCAGTTTCAATTATTTTTCTACCAATTTATATACTTACTATGTTATCATTATATGGAGCACTCCTATCGGCGTAGTGTTAAAATGGAGCCACAACACTATTGCTTTAGATTTAAATCCACCACCAAAACGGTGAACCGAATAACATTGGCGTTACCGGTACCACTACTATATAGGGCTGTGCCACAAATTAGTTCAAATAGATAATACTTATATAAAATAAGCAAATCTCGATTGCAATTAATTAAAAAATTGAATGTGTGACTCATGTGGTGTATATTCATTTGGGAATACACATAATGTCAATCTGAGATTCAGCTTAGTGTGATCTCCCTTTCCGTGCTAATAACATATTATTACTGGTTACAGATGCACTTAAAGCGCAAGTAAAATTGTGTAAGCAACTTGCGTGCAAATATCAACGTGACATTCAATGGTAAGATTTCATTCGTCATTTAAACTTGACACTTTTTTATTTATTGCATAACCTGAATAAATCCTTCCGTCGTATTATAAATAATAATAATAATAACGCACACACTCAACATAGCCCCGCACTAGGGAAACCCTGTGTCGCGGGTGCCATGGACACACACATAGACAACCACAAATTACACCCAAACTCACGAGAGAAATAAATGTAGGCCATACAAATATTTCTCCCGGCCCGGGTATCGAACCCGGCGTGGCAGTCTGGTATGGTAACCGTTCGGCCACGGAGGCAGTTTAATAAATAGAAACAAGAACAAGAAACTTAGAACAAATTCAAATTAAGAGGTTGTATACATAAATAGTATTTAAGTATTATTTTTATTCGTTTAGTGGTATTGCCATAGTTTATAAATTTTGCTAATTCTTGTTATGGATAGGATTAAAATATATGTTATAAAATGTACATAATAATCTCGTATTTTCAGTTTTGCTGCTACAATATATGAATACACACACACATTTTTTCTTACGTCAGTTGTATCTCGTACCGAAGCTAAGGTTGGCGACCATTATACTCGTAGCAATCCACTACTACTATAGATAGTCTCCCATTAAACAAAATACTAAACTTTTATTTATAGATATTCATAATGTTACAACCGTAAGTTTTTCGATAGGTGATACTTATTTAGATACACCTGAATGTGATTGTTCATTAACCTCTGCCTGTATTTTATGCATAAAATAACTCTCAAATAGCAGTTGTTACAGTAGTTACTGTGGATTTGTTTGATGAAATATTTCTTTTATTAAATTTTTCATCGCTGCAACTGATTGTAACGTTTAAACTTTAACTACTAACACTAGACTATCTAACAATAAGCTCATAGAGTGTTTTCGCTGTTCGGATATTATTCTAATTAACTACCTTAAATTGAATATTTTTTTAAATGATTATGCGTGAAAGTGTAACCATAATTGAATATTTTATCGGTACAGTAGTGCGAATTTTGTAACTGAAGAAAGGCCACTATTTATATGGAAGTATGTCTATGTACAAAGCTGGTTTTTATGTATTTATTCTACCTGTGCTAACATCAACATTACTCAAAATCCAAATTGTGGAGATTTATTCATACCGTTGGTGACGATGTCTGTTGTGATTCTACAGCTCCTGATGAATACCACCAAGGCTGTTGTGCTGATTCTTCTCGAGTATTTGAACCAGACATCATGCGATAATCAAAATTGGCGTTTGAAGTGTCCCCTGCATTGTTTGAAAACCCACTAGCCATTTTATATGTGTAAAGCTGATGAGTTGCTGCAGCAGTACTTCTCGCAATCTCTTCATTCATTTGTTGTTGGTGCTGAAGTTCACCTGCGCCACCCGGCCACCACGAGGCATCGTCGCGCGCACCCCACGCGCCCCCCACCGTGCCTCGATCCCCCATGTTATAGCAGCCGCTTTAGGCCAACCAGTTCCTTTATGACCCTTCAGCTACTTTAATATATGCTTTATGTTCTTTTTGTTGTAAAAATCATGTCCTTTTGTCTCCACTTTTGATAACAAATAAACACCACGCAGCTTTATTAACTAATGTTTTCACTAAAACACTCACTCTTTGTACGACAGAGTTTAAAATGATCACAAAAAGTTAATGATTTTTTTCATTTTGTAACATTTTGCAATTTACAAAACCCAAAACGAGACGTAGAATTATAAGATTTTGGGTATATAATAATAGCTGCCGGCAGTAAGTTCCACTCCACACGCGTATGTACGTATTGTCTTCGTTAGTACTTAAAGTCAATACAGTTGGCAACGTCGCACCGCGAGACGCTAAACAAGTGCACAGAGGCGCCCTCAACGCGCAGCGGCCATTACGAAAATATTCGACTTCACACGAAGTGGAGCCGATTGTGCACGAAACGGCAACAAGCCCGTCCAGTAACCGGTCAATAAGACGATTAGCGCAGCCAAGCCACTGCTGTACTTGCTCACACTAAAATTCTTTTGTTTATGTTTGATTTCAGTAAATATATAAAAGTTTAAATATATTTCAGTTTCCAATAGTAATATTTTCCATATTTAGTTTTATTTTGATGTTGAATGAAAACACATTTGTAATGAACAATTTAAGTTAGCAAGCCGGGTCTTCAGATGTTTAAGAACACCTATAAGATACTTGTATAATCTTTGAAACTGAAATAAAAAAAATGTAGTTGTTCATAATTTTAAGAAATCATAATACATGAAGTAGGAAATTAAGAGCTTCGTGTTGATGGCACGTAGCCAGCAGTGCAAGTATACACTTATAATTGTAAATAATCCTATTTCAATTTATATATTGTGATAGAAACGTAAAAAAATACTACAACTTCAGTTCTAATAAAATGTACGTATACTCACACCCGTATTCTTAGTTGTTTACTCGAGATTTCCTCCACTCGACTCAACCTCAGCCAAGGTTATTGGTATTTTAAGTTCACATAAGCGTCCTCGACTTAAGGATTTTCCTCAGTGGAGTCGAGGAATATACTGTCAAACTTGAGGTACCTCGCGACCAACCTTAAGGCCTCCTCGACCGTAGAAAACGGTTGTTGTGACGCTATTTTTTACGTGTATTGAATTAAAATGTGTGATTTTGACGATTTCGAGGATTTCATGGATTACGTAATAGTTATGATTATCCGGCACGGCGGTATCTGAGAGACGCAGAAAATCCTTTAGAATTTTACAACTACGATCAATTCCAAAAAAGGTTTCGATTTAGAAAAGAAACAGTTGTTGATATTTTATTGCCTATTTGCAAATGAGTTTCCTGCTCCGAGAGTTGCGGCTGAGTTTAATTTATATTTAATTATTAACTCCTGCAGGCACACTTTCTCAATTTCGGTGAATATTTGTCTTCCGGACATTTTCTATTTTCAAAGTAGATAATATTAAGAGTAATGTTGTTCTATGAGCGTCGCTGTCGGCAACAAACTACTAAACAAAACAAGCGTCGGCGTCGGCCCAAAACCCGCTTGAACACATGGCATTTTGTTTTGGCAGGACGAAGTTATTGCCATGTCAAATTTTCAAACTCCTAAAATGCTAATTGCATAGATAATTATTTAAACAAAGATTCTAATGTACAATCGTAGGATTACTTCGAAATGAATGACTACCTGCTTAATTTAGTTTGTTTTTTTAAGTATAACTATTAAATTTCCATATTTATCAACAAGATTACCGATACATGTCAATAGAAATTTACTTTAAAATCGGGTATTTTTTTTCGGTTTGGATTGAGTAGCAACACTAACCATAAATATTTTATCATTCGTATTTTTTCGGCTACATTCTGCCAACATAATAAAAACAAAATACTCGAGATAATGACGTCATTCCTCGACTCAACCTTACTGGAGGAACTCCTTTTAATTGTCAAATGACGTTTAAGAATACCGACTTCGAGGAAGTGCTGAGGAATTCCTTAAGGACACCTCAGGTGAGGTTGAGTTTGAGGAAACCTTGAGGACACGTTTAAGAATACGGGTGTAAGTGACGTTAAAAATATTAAGATACCAAAAATTTCCTGTGATCTTTACGTTTATATTTAACTGCAGTACTTATAAGTGTATTTCGTTTTCTAAAGGAAATTGATAGGAAATACAATAAAATTCGAAAAAAGTCATAATAGAATTATAGCGGATAAACACAAATGGAATAAAAAAATAGAGAATCATTTAATTTAAAAAATACTGACAATCGAGCCCACTTTAAAAGTATAGGTACTTAGAAAAAAGTAATAACAACCCACAACACAACCAATTAACGAATTGATGCTTTGTAATGAATAACGATTATTAATTGTCCCTTCCGTATGGTGTGCTCAGCACATTTTTTATCATACTAGCCACGACGACAAAATATGCTAACCTACCGACTCTTCTACATTTTTCGATAACTTTTAGTAAAACATGCATGTGCTGCCAACAGTGCCCTGGCAGTTACACTTTGAATTTGTACCATTTTCATCATAAATGATTCATACATTTGATTATAATCAACACACTGATTGTCAAACAAGTAAAATTAAATGTTATTTTTTTAATTTAAAAGCTGATATTTTTTGTTTTTGATTTGTCCATAATCTCATCTCGAGAAAAGTGCTGATGTGGAATAGGATAATAACAACAGTTTGTCGAAAAATGCTTGATTACTCTGACCTTAAAAGTATAACGTCGTATTCTTAGGAAAACACATAAATAAAACCTTATCCTAGTCGCGTAATGAACGTAGAACAAAAAGCTTTTTTTGGAATGTGTACAATATAAGGGTGAAATCCCTCACCGCTATTGACCCGAACGGACTGTAATAAATTACGTAATACCCTACGGACTTAAAAAATCAAACAAATATCGAAAGACAGGGTCCTTGAGGACGCCGCGCGCCCTTCGGAGTTTTGGAGGTTTGCCTTTAAGAGCACCTTGTTAAAAAGTCTCATATCTCGGAGCTTTGGATAGATTCATCTCAAACGAAGCAACGGTATACTCCATACAGAGATAGCTGAAACTTGACAGACGTTAAGGAGTTGCTCTGAGGAACACTGTTGGGCTATAAAAAGTTCGCTATGTATTTGGCAGCTGTTTTCGCTATAGACACGAAGTAGCAGCAGAAATCATGGTTGGCATTACAGTCAATCTTCTTCGTCTACTTACTTTGTTTTATTCACTATTATTTACTGAATCGTTTCACACTCGACACTTACAGTTCAGTATAAATTTAATATGAGTTGTCTGATTGGATGGGAGCCTGGTGAGCTGTAATACAGGTCTAGTATAGGTACTAGACCTGTATTACAGCTCACCAGGCTAGTATAGGTACTAGACCTGTATTACAGCTCACCAGCCTCCCACCGGAGTCCGTATTAGGACAGGGACTCCAGTCTCACAAATAGCGGTTATATTTAATTTAACATTGGGTCTATTTAATGTAAGATTTGTGTTTGAGAAATTAGTTATTACTATTATTATTATTATAATCTTCAGAGATCGATGGCGAAAGATGATAATATAGATATATTGGGGGAACTAAGAAAGAGACGAAAAACTTGACAAAAGTATGATCTCGTTCGTACACAATCATAAGTGTCAGATTACCTTCCTCCAGTATCAATTTCCTGAGCTATTGGACTTGGGTACCGCAATTTCCATAGGATATTATGTATATGTATGTATTTAATGTGATTTAGGAGGTCCTCTCCCAAATTTAAGGAATTTTTAAGTATTCATTTTTCACGTGCTTATCCAACGATTCATATTCGACTTTATTTCAATCGACAAGACCAGTGAAGGTCGTCAAAATGTTATAGCCATATTAGATAATATAAATATATGGTACATTTATTAAATCACCCTAAAAGACAAAAGTTATATTTGCAGTAAAACAAATTTTTTTTTATGAAAAAAAAATATGATGGATTCAATATTTGTTCGATTGTTATCAATCTATTATACATATCATAGAATTTTTTCCAACTATTTCTTTTCGTGTCAAGTAGTGTACTTGTTTTGCTTGTTTCATTTATTTAGCTATGTTATCCGGAAATATTTTTGAAATAAAATAGAAACGCTAAAATGAAAATTTATGTTGCATACTATTCTAGGGCGTAACTGATGTTTCACATATTTGTCTACATAAAAACGCAAACATGCAACTTGTTTTCAAAGGTCGATTTTATATAGAATTTGAAATTATTAAATAGACATGCAGGAAGTTAACAGTATAATAAGACATTACATTTACTTCATGTGGTTACATAAATGGATATTTGTTAGTAATGTCTGTTTAGTTACGTGTGAATACCAGATTGAACATTGCCGCTATAAAATATTTCCTCTAAGAAAAACGTACGAAATTCACAGTGATTTATTAAATTCTGACTGGATTCCTAAACACACGTCTGTTGTTAAAGAGTGACAAATTTTTAGCAAATGCACTTGCATGCACACTTGCCATTCGAACAACATATTAGTATTTGCACAACATTGCTGCCGCTACCAATAGGTAGAAATGCAAAGTAAAGTGCACTTATCATTTATTTTATTTATAGTGACCGCAAGAATACTTACTTGTATTTATATATAACATTATACCACATGAATAAAACTTTTTAACTCTTGAGAGTTTTTTAAATTACGTGCAGAAGACTAGACTATATGGTTCAATTCACAACAAGTCAATCATTCAAAAAGTATTTTTTCTTATTAGAATCAGTTGTTAAATAATATTATTCTAGTTGAAATATAAACAATTTTCTATAAAGAAAATTGAATCCAAAAGGACATCAGTATGACTATGGCGTACACATTGATAAATAGCTATTCTACCTATACTTATCTATAGTGCACATTGTTATATATACGCATAGTGTCACTTTACTTCGGCAGCCATTTGCTTACAAAATTAGAATGTAAAACTATAAATATAGCTTAAGCAAATTCACTGATACCATCCAAAATGAGTACTATTTATTGTTCAGTTTACCACATGATTTTATATCATTGGCGATAATGTATAAAAAAATAATAAAACTCACCGAGTATCTGTTTATTACGAACGGGCACACGATTTCAGCGCTTATTACGTAGGGAACTTTGCGTTCGCCGCAATGAATAAACGAGCTGGCGATGTCAGCGCCAAAGATTTGTGATTGGCTCAAATTAAATATCCCGCCAAATCTTAACCAATCCTTGCACAAGCGTTGGCTTTATTTTTTTGTTTATACTATACTACGTACCCAGTTGTATTTTCACATTGCAACGCAGCACACATCCAAACAAGTTGTTTTCACAAATGAAACAGAGCGAGTGTTTAGTTGTGTGCATTGCTGCTAAGTACTCTATCACATCGTCTGTGTGACCATAAATACTAATTTCAACCACATGTTGTAAACGAATATAATATACTTGAATATGTTTAATTGAAATCAATAAAAAAATGTTAAACGTTTTTCAATATATTTCATCTTTGGAATAACTAAATGTTGATTTTAGTCCATTGATTCTTATGACAGGCGTAACATTTACATAAGTATCTATATTTATATACATTTTATACATCAATTTCTTTGAACATTTTTTTTTAGTTCTGTGAATAAATAATGTTGAACAATTATAACTAACTTATTCATTTGCTATATTTGATAAAACAAACTTGGTCACATTTTGTTGGCGTGAGTGAATGAATGAATTGATTGAGACAATTTGCTTTGAACGAAATCGAATGGCATGGCGATCAGTCGGTCAGTGCGAAAGTCTATTTCTCGCTCGGAAGTTTATGCGGTGGCATAATTATTATTTGAGTTTAATTTATCGTGTCAGTGTTGAGAATCCTTTGCTCTTATTTTAATAACTGACAATTTGTAGTGGAAGACTCTATTACATCAAATTATTTCGAGGAATTCTCTGTGTAATTGTGAAGGCAATGAACATTTTAGTGCATATGTGCACTGAATAAAGAAATAGTGTCCTCAAATGGTGTTTGGTCTGTGAAAGCCGAGAAGCCGGGCGTCTGCTGCCATGTTTTTATTTGATTTATCCCGTAGAAATGTTTTGTGTTGTTATAAATCATAACCTCAATCGTTCGTCTTTGTGATACGTCGAACATTTTTCGTCGCCTGGTGCGAGGTCTACTGCAACAGTTAAATTTATTTGTTATATATGATTCAACGCGAGTATCCAATGAACAACGGGTTTAGTACAGGAGAAGAGGATTCTAGAGGAAATTCCGATCAAATATGTTGCCTAGTGGATGACGGCGAGCGATGCAGGCGCCCCGCGGGCAACGCCGCTTACAGCAAACGCATTCAAAATACAGTCGTCCAAAAGAGGCTCAAACTTAACATTGACCCTCAGGTTGGTATTTTATTTCCATTTTTTGTCATGTTGCATATATAAAACTGATTTTGAAGGCTAATTTCAAAATTTTCGTTTTTCCAGACAAGGCACACATACATATGTGATGACCATAAGACAATGATTCAGTGTGCAAGGACAAAGCAGAGGAGGCCCAAGGACTCTGAGGACGACAGTAATGAAGCAGAGATGGATTCCTTAGAGGTTGATTGGTTCCAGCTGCAAGTGAACACCCTGAGGAGGTATAAGAGGTATTACAAGGTGCCTACCAGGCCAGGGCTCAATAAACAAGGACTAGCTGATGTAAGTACACAGATAACTTAATAATTCTAATCTATTGGAAGAAACAAGTGAAAAATAATGAAATATAATATATGAAGATAAAATATAATATTAATTTTAGTTTGAAGATAATAAAGAATTCGTAATACACAGGAACTAATTTTTAATGAATTTATTTCATTTCTGACATTTTTTGTTCCCAGGCTATACAGAAACACTTCAAGTCATTGCCAGTAAATGAAAAGGAAATAGTGACATACTTCATTTACATGGTAAAAACAAATGGCAACAAGTTGGACCAGAAAAATGGCATGAACTCAGATTCTGTGTAGGCTAATGTGTATGTGACTAATTTATAGACAAAGTGTGTAGTTTTAATTATAGCTTTAGGTATTATGTTATTTCTCTTCCCAAATTCTCAATCAATAAACTTAAAACTGTGTTATTCAGATACAAAAAACAGGTTCAAACAAAATCTGTTACATCAAATATTGAATGATGTAGGTACATATTTATATGCTTCCAAGTGATTTTTAAGGACAAAAATATATTTAAATAAACCATCTGAATAGCACAGTTGCATTATAGAAAATATTTTAGAATGTTATAATAGATTCAATACATACATAATATACAATTTAAAATTATTATTAAGTCCAATTAAAATGTCTACAAAGTGCAATGAACTTGAGATCATACATTCTATCTTTTATTCTACTACTTCTACAAATTTCTGTGTAGAATTTGTCACCCTTAAAAGTCTTGATGAGCTTTGTATGACTTTTATGTAGAGATTGTATTCATAGTTCTGGTGAACTCAATTTTAAACATGATCTATTTATTTCCTTTTAGTATAGTTAGACAATATTTTGTATTATACCCTAATACAGTGTCAAATGTTATGATTGTTAATTGACGAGGGAAATGCAATTGTAATATAATACTGTTAAGAGAGATTATAATAACAGTAAATTTTGAAATGTAAATTTATTACATTTTATCTAACAAGCATCATTTGTGTATTCAATGAGTCAGTCTTCGGAGTCGGAGTCTGATGACACTTCTATCCATTCTGATCCTTGTTTCGCTTTGAGTTCTGCTGTCTGTGGCAATGATGGAACAACTGAAAAGAAAAAAATAATAATTCACAAAATTATATCTAAAAATTCTTGTATAATTTAGAAAACGAAAACATTTATATATATATAAAAATGTCTTATTTAATTTATATATATATATATGTCTTAGCATCCACTATTAGCTATGCCAAATGTTATTGTTGTTTATTTAGTCATGTCTTTTCAAAAACTGGGCCAACTTTAGTCTTCGGTTTGGATTTTTAAAACAATAGGATTCATGTCCTATCTGTTATACATTGGAATAGTTTTCAAAAAGTGGACTAGGTCACTTAGGCTATTTCACAACTGCTAACTAATACACATACCATCATATTTGCTAGGCTCTGGTAGTATGTCTTCTCCAGGCATTTCTTCATCCTTAGGCTCAGATATAAATTCACCATCTTCAATACTGTAGTTCTTAAGCCGGATGTTAAGATCCCTCTCAGTAAGTGACAGAATGTGATCATCAGTTATTGTGTCAGAGAAGTTTATTTTAACACGTTTTTGTCTGAAACAGGGAAGTTGTGTCTGTTAGATTCAGTCGTATAGTTCTGACGTTATTGTGGTTGGAATATGTGGTAATGCTTTTATACCACACATAATATTCTTGTGGTTGGAAATAAAAAAAAAGATAATTTGATATTGTGCACTTGAAATGGTAATAACCTTGGATTTTTTTATGTCTTGAAGATAAACCATTTTCTTTAATAATGTGGCTGATATATACCCATCAGTTCGCAATCCTTTATTCTGTCATTCTATTCTTTATTGGCAATGGTCGGAAAAAGGTGTTCCACATATTATAGATACATGTATAGACACAGCTACAAGGAGCGACATAGAGTTATTAAAACCACCAAATATTAATTAATTACTCTTTCGAACTCAAGATTTCCGGAAATGGTTTTACTATATAATAAGACAAACTCCTGACCTAGGAAGTCGAAGTTGGATTTGAAAGTAATTTTAATAGTGCCTTGTAAAAAATGCAGTAGATAACTGACAGCTCTGTTGCCGTTCCGTCAATGTGACCGTCAATATGCGGATTTCGGTGCGATATTTAAACGCTAGGGAGGGGCGGAGAGTGACCATTCTCGTTACTTATTTATTCTCTGCTTTGGTAAAAGGTCAGTTATCTACTGCATTTATATACATAGCACCATTAGAATTACTTTAAAATCTAACTTCGACTTCCTAGGTCAGCAGTTTTGTCTTACGATGCAGTAAAACCATTCCCGGAAATACGGAATTCGAAAAAGTGATTAATTAATATTTGGTGGTTTTAATAACTCTATGTTGCTCCTTGTAGCTATATCCATACATGTATCTATATAACATGTCGAACACCTTTTTCCGACCATTGTTTATTGGTAATAATATAATGTTTATTTGATTCGTATATGCAATATTTCGACGAGGTAAGATTCCCCTTTACGAGTTGCAAATGAGTAAGGGTGTCTGGGTTTGCACCTAGATTAAAACCGGGGCTCTGGTGCAGAGTTAAGGAAACACGATTAAGTTCGGAAAACTGACGTCACTTGGCTAGGTCTATTTTACCATTCTATTAATTATGAATTGTAACATAAATGTTCATTATTTATTATTGGCAATCCAAAAGCTTCAAAAAAAATCGAATAATGACACACAGCCAATTACAAGTTTTGCATACAATAGCGGTATTCAGGGTAACTAAGCTTACTATTACAGTTCATAGGAAATAGAATACCTAGATGACGTAATCATTACTTACCTTAAGGTATCGTCGCCAATAATGCGTGCCTTCACAATATCTACCAGTTCTTTGCATCTGTCAGAAGCAGTCAATATAGCCTTGTGTACAATATTGCCACTGTTTATAGCAGCTCCAGATAAATCTAGTAAGCAGAGTTCCTTGTACTGATTCATGCCCACAACTAAAAGTCCTCCTCCTGTGTTGATGCCTTCCTCAGTACTGCTTGTGCAAACCGACTCTTCTATAAAGCTGGGGTCTGATATTAGGATACTGAAATTCAATTATCATTTTTTAACTTTTGTTTTTCTTAGGCCTTCGCGATCGTTTCACAGGTAATGAAACTATTTTTAACCAACTTCAAAAAAAGAGGAGGTTCTCAATTCGACTGCATTTTTTTGTATTTTTTTTTTGATATCAAGTGACGTGACGAACATGTCGTGCGCCTGGTGGCAAGCCACACACCTGTCCATAACAGTTGCAGCACCACTCAGACCTTTAAGTCGCAATGATCTGAGGGGCACTGCCACTGCGCCTATCACCCTGAGACATAAGTTGACAAGTCTCATGTGCCTGTAATTTCACCAGCACCCTTACCCTTCAAAAAATGTAATGTATGTAGGTTACGCGATAACTCCGCGATTTTGATGATTCTGTTTGTTGGAAAGAGGGTACCTCAGTAGTAGTCCCATTTAAATTTGAAGAAAATATTCCACCTCTAAGGGTGGCAAACTAGGGGATGAATCCGGTTTCGCGCCCTTTCCGGTAACCGATTTCAATAAAACTTGGCGGATATATGTAATTCCATGAACTTTTGAGGTCGGTTTTTTCTCTCTGTATTGAGATTATTTCGGATTTAAATCGCATATATTTGTTTCTCAAACAAATTCACGTTTCACAAAAACGCATTACATTTTACTACTAATATTTCTAACTGTTTTGGTATTTGGACTATATTGGTATATGGGTTGTTGTTCTTTTTTTTTTTGTCATAATAAACTCAGTGACGGTCATATTTGTTTTAAACAATATATTAAATAAGAAATTAATCACAGGTTTGTGTAATTAAATTTTAACAAGTTTCATGATTTTAAACACCTATTGCAATAATTACAGTGTACATACATACAATTTATGCATTAAAATGTACTAGCTATGATGAGTGACCTAGACTTACTTAATATTTCAGCTGTACGTACAATAGTCATAGACTTCATTATCAATGGTATCCATCTACCTAGAAGCTGATTCTTTGTTTATTACGTGTCTTTGTTATTAAGCTTTCTAATCAAGTGATAATATTAGAAATAGGTACAATGAAAAGTAATGTAATGTTTAGCAATAATGACTACTTGGTAGATATCATTAAAATTAACCAGATAATGCGCCGCCGATGTTTTTTTTCCACAATTTTTGCGGCGTAAAATCGGAGTGGCCCATTTTTTTTTCTAATTATCAGCTTCTTTGTTAATTATTTATTATATTTGAATACAATAGTCTATCTTACGTAGGTATTACGTAGGTAACTTTATTTTTACGAGTTTCTTTTATCTTACATACATCCTATATCATCTACATACGGTATACCTGTTAGAGTACAAGTTAAAAGGTAAAAAGACGTTGATAATGCTTGATTAAACAAAGTTTTATGTTTCTTTGGCCTCTGTAGTCGAACTGTAGTTCAACAATAAAATAAACGTCCACGACACTGTCACGACAGATAGTCGTGATATGGGAGCAGGCTAGACGCGACAGTCGTCCATCGATAAATAAAACGTTACGACATAATGGGAACGTGAACGCGAGGAAAGTTGTTTATAAAGGTACTTACTCACTACCATAAACAGCAAAAGTGACACAAACTGGATAATGGTACAGCACTGTTGGTATAGGGTCCATCTCACTCATTGTGTGTATTATTATGCTGTCCCCACTTCGTGTAACATCAGGTCTTTTGAAGTGTGCTAGGGAGCTCAATGTAGCCAGACTGGCACATTCTATTAAGTTGCCAGCATGGTTTATAATTTTTAGATCCACTCTCAATGACCATACCTGAAAATTTAACCACAATTATGTTAGGAACTAAATCAAGGTAACTAAAGAAATGGCTTAAAATTAATGGTCTTTGATATTTCGTGATTTTCTACCTACTTATACGTCCCACTGCTGGGCACGGGTCTTCTCTCCTCTCAAGCGAGGCTCCACCACATTGGCCCTTGTCGGCTGGCTGGTGACCTCACACTTTTTCCGAGAGTTGTGAACCTTCTTCGATATGCAGGTTTCATCACAATGTTTTCCTTCACTGAACAGATCATAGAACATTTCATATTAAATTTCTCACATAAATTCTGAGAAAGTCAGAAGTGCGAGGTTGCTTTTGAACCACTGCCTCTGCTTGAGAAGTAGTAGATCAAACTATTAGGCTATTGTAAAAAGAATCTTTTCTCCATCCAATTTTATTCTTTTGTTTCTGGCACCCACTTCTCTGTATTTGGTGTCCATGTTTATAAGTGATACAGTGATTTATTTTAATGATAATAGTTGACATTATGTGGGTTTATTGTACTAGGCCAGTACAGTGGTCTATCTTCTAGGACAGGATTTCTTAACCTGTGGTCCATGGATCCCTAAGGGTGCCGTGTAATGTACGCTGGGGGTCCATGGTAGACATGAGCGCCGCGCCTCCGCCGCCGCCAAATGCAATCGGCGCGCCGTTCAGTTCGATCAGGCGCTCCGATCGTACGCACGCGCACGCTTCCGTATTGTGTATGTAAAGATGGCGACGCCAGAAAATTACTTTTCTAAGATAAAACTTTTTTTTTTTATAAAATGTAAATTCGCATTTGACCTCCATCTCACTTGTTGGAAAGTGACGATGAGGTCGACGATGGATGAATGCCTATTCACTTACGCCATGAAAAGGCCCAAGTTATAACGTTCAGGGAACAAGTCTGCAGGCAGGGAATTCCAAACTATAGCCGTTCGTCAAATAAATGTGGAAGCGTAACGCTTCGTGTGAATCTTTGGAATATTCACAACATAGAGGTGGAACCCAAGTCTACGCCTAGTCCCCCGGTGATGGAAAGGGGAAAGCGGAATTAAATCATGTAATTCCATCGCAAAGTCTCCATGATATATCCTGTAAAATACCGATAAGCTGGCAACTTTACGGCGGTGTTCAAGGCTCTGCAACTGCGCCTCCACTAATTCCGCGTCACCTATAAGCTTCTGGGCACGGTTGTCAATTGAATTTAGTGTGGCCAGTTGGTATGTAGCAGAGCCATCCTAAAGGTGGCAGCAGTACTCCATGCACGACCGGATTTGTGCTTGGTACAGCTGAAGCAACTGTCCCGGTGTGAAGTAACGCCTCACTCTAGAAAGGATCCCAAAGCTTCCTCGCTGCATGTTTGGCCATGGATTCAACGTATCTGCCGAAGTACAAATTGTACGACAGGTCCATTCTAAGTAGCTGGAGACCGTCGGCTATCAGTATGGATATATCACGAAAAGTCGGAGTCAGCTCAAAGGGACTCCGTTTTGTGGATAATAGAGACGCCTGCGTTTGGTAGCGTTAAATTTAACAAGATTGGCATCGCCCCAATCGGAGACTGCATTGAGTGTCAAATCCAAACGGCTAACCATAGACTCTCGACAAGACTTGATTTCCTCTCCACTAACGCTTGCATTGGTCAAGTACCTATCTACAACTGTGTTGTCATCAGCATACGCAAAGGTGTAATATGGTATAATATAATATAAGGTATGATATGCAGTAGAAAGAGAGTTGCAGACAGTACGGAACCCTGAGGAATCTATCGCCATATGTTCGGAAAAGTAGCCTTCTAAGACCTCTCAAATCGAACGCTCGGTCGAATCGTTCGCTCAAGAAATCTGAGATCCAATTGCAAAATGGGAAGCCCATAAAAGGGAAGCTTACTTAAAAGGATTGCGTGCCAGACTCTGTCAAAGGATTTAGAAATATCCAAAGACACTTTAAGTGCTTCACCTTGCTTTTCTATAGACTCGCTCCATATGTGATAGGCATACACAAGAAGATCCCCAGTTGATCGCCCTCGTCGGAATCCGTACTGGCGATCACTGAGGAGGTCGTCGTCTTCAAAGTAGGACAAGAGATGGTAGTTGGGTACACGTTCTTATATATACACATAGTCTTGCAGAGTATGGAAGTGACTGAAATAGGTCTATAGTTGACAGAGTCAGCTCTGCTTTCGGCACAGGTTACACGTTTGCAATCTTCCACGACCTGGGAACTACACCAGTCTCAAGTGAGAGGCGGTACAGGCGTAGGCGTGTGAGAACAGGAGACGGACAACTCAGACGCACAGTTACGTAGGACTAGTGCTGGAAATCCATCTGGCCCGCTAGCTTAAAGATGTTTTGTTTAAAAAATTAATTTGTCAGTTTCTGGCGTCGCCATTTTCACTACGCATACATAATCGGAGCGCCTGATCGAACTGATAAAAATTTAAAATACGTTATTTTATTTTTTCCTTTGAAATAGTATTTGTAAAACGGTTTTTGTAAAAGCAAACACCGATATACAAATTTGCTTTAGGGTCGCGCTCGCGCCGCCGAAACCCCGCCGCCGCCAGTTGGTCTATTATCGGCGCTCATGTCTAGTCCATGGCGAGCCTACCCAACATAACAAATGCAAATTGTTATACAGTGTATTGTGGTTAAATAGGAACTGTACGCGTGACCTTTTTGAATTTTTGCACCCGAGTGACGAGCGAGCGAGAAGCGCGTCCGTGCAACCCGCAGCCTTTCTTCTTCTTCCATCTTTTCGGAAAGGGTTTGTGAGCTTTTTGAAGTTTTGAGAGGGGTCCATGACTAGAAAAAAGTTAAGGAACCCTGTTCTAGGGGAAGTCCAGTGCTCACTATTATAATAAAATAACAATAGTGTACCAGAGTACTACTCAGAATCAATTTAGAAAAGTTCATTTCCCGATTGGTCCTACCGGGACTAGAGTAGAATTATTTATTTCATATTATCAATTTTACAGTATTACAATTCAAAATACAATATCAAGGGATAATATGATAGCCACTAACGCATACAATAATTAATTATGAATATAAAATAAAGTAGTATAACTACTGCTTGTCTAAATATAATGAAGACAAGTAAAACAAAATTACAATTGTTTCAAATGGAACTCTTCGACACTGCAGAATTCATTATTCAATTAAAGGAGTTTTAGTCGGGTATAAAACTTTTTGTTGTTTATAACACTTTTCAGATCTGTGGGTAGATGTTCATAGGATTGGGAACCTGTTACCTGCAGATTTCTCATTGCGAGATAGGTACGCTCGGCTTCTGTAAGTACTGAAAACATACCCATTATCTACAGACTGATACAGAAAACAATGCTTTATTAACCTTTTCCTCCACAACAATGCATAGAGACTCCAGGTCAATGCACTTTGAATCCTTATAGCATTTCTCAAGCAATCTATTCAAGTACACGTTTAGATCTGTCTGTCTATTCGCTTCAAATTGTGGCGCTGCCATTGGTCCGATCTCCACATTAATGTGCAATATGCCTTCATTTGGACGAATTTGTTTTGGTTGTACTATATCACATGACACCTGTGCAAGGACCCTGGAAATTTTAATTGAAAATGTTTATTACATTATATTGTGTAATGTAACAATAAGGCTCGACTCACATTGGCGCAGAGTCGAAGCTTCGCGTCGCGTCCTGTTTTTCAACTACAACACCTGGCGACACGCGTCTACACGCGTAGACGCTTGACTGCAACCAAGCATCGACGCTTGACTCCAGATTTGCATAACACAAATTTGTACCTTATTAATGGGAAAATAGAGATGAATATGCTAGAGGCGAAAAACATGACGTGTCGTGACGTTTTGACTCTGCGCCAGTGTGAGTTGAGCCTTAAACATCTTTATTCTGCATGTTCTATTGAAAACTTCATATTTATCAATGTTTAACTGCCTCCGTGGTCGAACAGTTACTATGCTACTTGGGCATGCATAAATCCTGGGCGCGGTAATATTTGTATGACCTACTTATTAAGATTTTTTCTTTATTTATTTATCTCGTGAGTATGTGTGTATCCATGGCACCCGCGATACAGGGTTTCCCTAGTGCGGGTTCCCTAATGAGTCTATGCGTTTTTTAAGTATTATTTTTTGCAAGTATGTAGTACAGGTACTGTGTAGTACTCACTTTGTTTCTCCTAAGGATACTATGCAACTTCCATATTCAGACCCGAAAGCTATATCTAGTTTTCTGCTTTCATTATAATTCCTTCCATCCAAGCGCTGTAAAGTTGAAACGTAAAGCGATAAAATTTTGCTTGGCAACAATAACAACCGTTGAGGTTATTACAATATACTTACATGACCCTCAGAGACGATTTTCTGAAGGAAATTCTTTTCGCAATTTGATAAGTAAACGTCTCTCATTTTGAAAACTTGAACATCAAAACAAATCTATTTAATTTTATTTTTATACTATTGTACCCAAATTTTATTTAAGGTTAGGCGGCAATGTTTATTGTTTTTTTAAATTTTCGCTCATATATTAGGATGGGCAAAGGTTCTACCGTACAGCCTCTTCGTTGATTATATGTATGGTATGTTTTCCTTGTTTGCAATGGTCATTTACATAGATTTATAGTCGTCACAAAATAATAGATCATATTTGACACATGTCATCGCAACGTAAATAGTGATGTGAACTGCAATATCGGTAACCAGTTTAAACGATTCTCACGAGAAATCGATTAAAAATTTTAGGAGTTTGTAATCGTTTAGGTTATTTTTCTGTTCATTGCTTTTCAGTTCTAGATATATCAATCAACATTTATTTAAACGTTATACAGTTTAATAGAAATAATAAGTAAGTATTTTAAGTGAGCACAACGGCAACCTGTACTTGTTGTTGTATTGTAGTTATACATTAGCATAGTTCACGAGGATAACCTGTACGTAAATAACAAAATTCTGAAGTAAAACAAAAGACCTCCTTATTGGAATTTTTTATTTATCAACGTCATCGGAAGATGAACCAAAACCATCTGTTGAGCTAGTTTCACCAGTCCATATAATTAACTCGTTTTCAATTAAATTATCAATATTAACATCTCTGTCAAAATCTTCTTTTATTAGTTTTCTAGTTTTTTCCACCACCTTTCTCCAGTCTTCCTTTGTTACTTTAGTACATGCTTCCTTTAATAAAGTCATCATTTTTTTTGTGGAGAACGGTGGCTTAGTATTATTACGTCCTGCGTAGCCTGTAAAAAAAAAACACTGTTGTAAAATAGTAATGTTCCTTCACAGTGATATTACAAATTCGAAAGTTTATATGTTACCTCTTTACATTTGTACTTTATTAAAATATGCTACTAGTACAAAATAAGTCTTAATATATACGAATTTAAAATAACAGTATTAAATGCAAAAATATTAACCTTTAATTTGAGCCCAAATCAACTCAATAGCATTGTATTGACAGTGGTACGGCGGTGTCCTTATAATTTTATGTCCATGCTCAAGTGCCAATTCATCAATTTCATACCTAAGTTTTGTAGGTCTATGCTCTCGCACTAATCTTAACAATTCCACTTTCAATAGCTCCATGTCAGCTTCGACACCATTCCTCTGTAGCCATGCCACCAAATCAGCCTTTTTATTTGCCTGAGTCGGCGCTCGATCTATTTGAACCGAATGATACGATGCATTGTCCATAATTATTGTACATTGTTCGGGGAGGTTCTGAAGTAAAGTTTTAAACCACTCTTTAAATTTGTTTGCGTCCATTTCTTCGTGATATTCTTTTGTACTTTTTGATTCAAATGCTAGTAAAGCATTATTAACGAAACCTCCCCCGGCTGATCCAGCATGGCAAATTATGAGGCGACCACCTTTTCCCATTGGCACTTTCGAGCTGGATGCTTTAGTGTCGTCGGTCCATGATTGTGGTACTGTGTGGTTTGAGTTCAACCAAGTCTCATCGATAAACACAACATTATCCCAATTTGTAATTTTATTCATTTCTCTCAAAAATGAAACTCTTTGTAATATTAAATCATGTCTTTCCATCATAATATTTCTTTTGTCAGACTTCTTGTATTTAAAACCAATTTTTTTCAAAATTGTAATCAGTGAGGTAGCACTCCCAGTAAATAAGCCAAGCTCTCGAAGTGATACCAACAATTTACTCACAGTAGGGTACTCGTGTCTAGTATAATATGTATAAACATGGTTACGAATAGCGTCTGCATCGAACGTGTCGATACCTGTTACAGGCTTGCTTTTCTTCCTCTTTCTAGGCGTATGTAATACGTTTTCTTGAGAGCCGGAAGGCCCATATTTTTCTTGTATGATGGTGTGTACCGTTCTTTTGCCGATTCCAAGTGCACTTGCGACGCGATTTTGCACTTGTGTCACTGGTAATAGAGGTCCACCATTAAGTGACTCCCTTTCGAAATAGTCGTGTAATTTCACAACCAGTTCGCGAGTCTGGCTATTTAAAGCACGTCCTCTTTTCGACATGTTGAAAAAGAGTTCACACAGAATCAAGTCCAAAATATCCAAGCCAAGGTCAACGAGATTGAAAATAGAAGTAGTCCAAAAGCACAGCCGAGTCACAAGAAAAAACACCACGAATAACCAAGCGTACAGTCAACTTCCAAGACGGCGAAAGACTGCGCGGGCGCCGATGCAGAGTGACGCTAAATCGACATCAGTGTTGCCGTTTCAGAATTTGCGATAAAGAAAAGGAAATACAAATCTGACTTTACGGTTCTGTCTACTATAAATACTAGTATACTCAGTCTAATTTTGTAAGCACTTTAAAATTTTTGTTTTTGTAATTAAATAAGTCATTTTTTTAAGTGAAACCGATTTGACTCGATGATAGTCGGCGCGTATTGGTTACAACATTATTATTAAAAAGAATTATTTCTTTGTAGACTGAAGATGTAACTGTTTATAAGACGTTTCGGAGTAACCCAAAATTGGATTTTATTTTGGAATTCCTGCGAAAATAATACTTGAAA